CCAACGTAAATGTACTTAAATAGAGAATCTTGTATAGACCATTGTATCTCTCAAATGAAACATACTGAAAAGTTGTGGCATGCGTGAATCGAAAAGAAATGATTCTTCCGATTGATTGGACTTATTCCAAGTCGAATCCAACGGACAATGACTTCAAAATATCTTTTTTTTTAAATCTCCGCAGAGAACTCACCTGATGGATCAATTGTTGATCAATCAGATTTCTGCATGCCAACACGACCATAGATTTTCTCTCTTGAATGATGAAGACTTTACATCTCTATATTATTCCTATCAAAAGTTATTCAAAAAACAATTACGATCAGTGCTTTTTGAAAAAGATATCAGTTACGATATTTTATGTAAGGGAACATTTAGAATACTTATTCAATGATACTACTAGCAATTAGAATGTAAATAAGAAGCCAAAAAAAAAAAAGAAAACGATCTCATCTGTTAGATATCCTTGGTTTTTTCCAATAGCTTCTTCAACAGAAACAAATAATCAGTCGAATATATTTCTCTGGCTAGTGTATGTCATGGTCTGGGAGATGTAAATTTCTATCTTACATAGTACAACATTCCTTTTCCATTGTCTTTCAGAAAAACACCATTGAAACAGTGCTTATCATAGTTAAACAATGTAAAAATGACGTCATACATTATCATCTTCATCCATTTATAACAGTTTCACATCTATATATATAATGTTCAGTGTGTGTTTCTCTGTGCCGGATCAAAGGTCAAAGGTCAGATAAGGCTATAAGGGGAAGGCTGTAAGGGCTGTTATATATGAGGGCACTCATGGGTCCTCAAGGGCTATTATATGGAAGTACTCACAGATCCTCTAGAGCTATTATATGGAGATACCCATAGGTCCTCCGGGGCTATCCTATGGGGGTACCCCTGGGCCCTCAAGGGCTATTATATGCAGGTACTTCTGGGTCCTCTAGGGTTATTATATGGAAGTACCTCTGGGTCCTCCGGGGCTATGCTATGGGGGTACCCCTTGGGTCCTCAAGGGCTATTCTATGGGAGTATCTCTGGGTCCTCAAGGGCTATCCTATGGGGATACCTTGGGGTCCGCAGGAACTATCCTAATGGGGGTACGTCTGGGTCCCGAGGGGCTATTACATGGAGATACCCACAGGTGTTCAAGGGCTATCCTATGAGGGTACCCCTGGACCCTCAAGGACTATTATATGGAGAAACCCGCAGGTCCTCAAGGGCTATTGTATTGTGGTACCCACACCCTTCACAACGGCTATAAGGCTATAAGGGAGTAGGGGATAAGGAGATAAGGAGATAAGGATATAAGGGTAAAGGGGATAAGAGGCTAAGGCTACATGGGCATAAGGGATAAAGCTAAAAGAGTATAAGGGGATAAGGGTATATGGTATAAATGGATAAGGTTGGAAAGGATATAAGGGATAAGGAAATAACGGAATAAGGCTATAAGAAGTACTACAACAAGAGTATGAGTCTACAAGGGTATCAGGTTGTACGATCTCTATATATATAATGCGAACTGGGTTTTTGTCTATTACCCAATCAAGGCTAAAGGACAGAAGTGAAACTTCACAGGAAAAAAGCATCCGTGCAGTATGCACGGGCTCTCGCTAGTAATTGTAATAATATCCAGTAGAAGTTTAAGAACTGAGTTGATACGGAATTAATCATTTCTGTAAGAACAAAAAACCTTGTTGTTTTCCAAAGAATCTAATATAACGATTGTTTATACCCCTAAATAATGTGCAGTATATCAATCCTTTTTATTCCAGATCTTCATCGTTTTGCTAAGTATTTTCACTGAGAAATGACGAAAAAAATTTATATATATATATAATTTTTGCATAATTCCATGTATGTACAGAATTATGCTTTTTATTAATGATCATCAATANTCTTCTTCAAACAGAGAATGGATTCAGGGTGTTTTTTCACCATCTCTGTATTCTTTCGATTCTTCGCAATCAGGAATAAATCGACGTTTACTTTATAACCAACTTCACAATCCTGTCGACTTTTTCCGACTTTTCTTCGATCAAAATCTGATGGAAACCATCGTAAGACAAACAAACATCTATCAATCGCAAAATCCACAACCGTCATCTTCTCACATGGCTTCCTGGGTGGATGTTAGCGTTAGCGAACTGTCTGTCTTCCTGGCCATAACAATACTTATGTCGCAAGTAAAGAAACACAAGATACTAGAATATTGGTCCACTGACCCACTTATAGAGACGCCAATCTTTGGCACCATATTTGCTAGGGATCGGTATCTTTCGCTGTTACGATACCTTCACTTCACCGACAACAAAAAAATCACTACTAGCGATCGTTTGTCAAAGTTGGGATCAATTCTTGATGACCTGAAGAAGAAGTTTAGTAACACTATATATCCGTATCAAAATCTAGTAATTGATGACAGCCTAACGCTTTGGAAAGGTCGACTCAACTTCAAGCAGTACATCCCGTCTAAGCGAAGCCGTTTTGGTATCAAACTTCACGTGCTGTGTGACTGCAATACAGGATTTATCCTCGATTTTGTAGTCTATACCGGATCCTCAACGTCTATAGTCCGTGACAAGACTCTAGGTGTTTCCGGCGCCATTGTCATGAAACTGATCGAAAAATACCTTTATAAAGGTCATAATTTATACGTTGATAACTGGTATTCTGGTCCTGCACTATTCGAAATATTACACCAGAAGAAAACAGGGGCTTGTGGTACTGTGAATGTGAATCGTCATGGCTTACCAAATTTCCAAGCATTCGACGTCAGTGAGAATGAACAGATCTCTTTCCATACCGATGTACTTCTGGCTCTCAAATGGAAAAGCAAAAGGAACGTGCATATGATTTCGACTATTCATGGGACGGAAATGATAACCACTGAAAAAGTAGATTACCAAACAGGTCGTCGAATTGCGAAACCCGCATCTGTGAAAGACTACAATGAAAATAGATGGCTTGTCGATAAAGCTGACATGCAAATTTCGTTTTCCGAGTCCCTGCGCAAATCGTTCAAGTGGTACAAAAAACTCTTTTTCCATTTGCTTAATATCTCGCTCTACAATGCCTACGTACTATACAAGCAGCAAACTAGGAAAAAACTTGCTCTTTCTGACTTTCGACTGGACGTAGTTCGAGCACTTCTGGAAGAATTCGGTATTCAAAAATTGGACGTTCGAGGTAGACCATCAATTGAAACTCCTGTCCGTATAACAGCACGACATTTTCCATCAAAGGTACAAAGCTCGGAAGATGGGCGAAGACGTTGCTTTGTCTGCAGTCACACAACTCGTGGTCCAAAGCGCGAAACAAAAACCAGCTACGAATGCAAGGAGTGCAATGTTGGCTTATGCGTAGTACCATGTTTTGAAGCCTATCACACGTTGAAACATTTTTAATAAAGAGTGTATTGAAAACACCAGAGGTGATTGACCCTCGGGCTTGTTAGCGATTGAAAAAGCTGCTTTCTCTCCCAGACACAAGAGCTTTTCATATACTGTTATAGAAACTATTTTTCCGCTAGATATGGATACATCTCTCACCGAAAAAAAACCCCGTAGCGAAAGGGTTAATAAATATTATTATTGAATAAATTCTCAATTTTATTCATCGTAGTCATAATTTAAAAGAATTTATGTGTCTTTCCCATGCATTGAAATTTAATGTTACACGAGATAAGGTTAGTCATTTGTTTTATGGAACTTACGTATATTTTTCAAGAGAATATTAATGATTGGAAGTTTAAATCGAAGTTTTTGCAGTTCTCCCTAGACTTTAACAACTCAGCGACGGGGGGAGGAGGAGAATCGAAAGAATACCAATAACTGTGTTGATCATAACTATATTGTCTATATATTGCGGGTGTTAATATTTAATGCAATGAAAAGGTCTTATTGTAGGTGTCAATCAGCAGAGCTAGAATAGGACAGACATAGAAAAGTTGAAGGTTACTGAATGATTAAATCAATGTGAATAGCAATCTGATAAGGCGATTGAGCCGACGAATTTGCTTCTCACAGTAATTTATATTTTATCTTACTGATGTATTGTAGTTAATACAAGTCTTTTGACAGTATAGACTAGAATCATTCTTTCTAAGTCGAACTAAACAACGTGTTATAATAATTTAAGTCAAAATCAGTATTTTTCATCCGAATTTTTCTCTTGCGAAGTAGCAATTTAAAATCACGTCAGAGCGAACAGTTATCCATTAGAGTACAGGCACATAGTATCTCAGACCGTAAAATAAGAGATACCTCTATCCGGTTACGGTCGTTTGCGATCAAAATTAGAAAAACTCGACTACCAAATTAGGTGTCGAAACCATTGACCTGCGATGCAGCATAATAACCACAAACTCTAGAAAGGAGCGGCTCCCATGCATGCTAGATACAATAGTGATTGAAACCATTTATTACACTGCAAACTTTCTTTTCATAAAAAAATAAAAGAATAACATTACACAATTTTATTTATTTTCATTAATCATGCAATAATAATACACAAGAAAAACTATGTCTCTAACAAAATTTTATGAAGTATTTTTATTTTTGTAAGGATTTTTTTATTTAATTAATAATATAAGATATAATAATTATCATCAATTGCAAAGAATAAATAATTATACATAAAAAAAATTAGTAGAAATAAAACAATTACAATGACTTATCTTTTAAATCAAAAGATGTCTCTAATAAACGTTTAAATTTGTTTAAAATTAATAAAAATAGATAAACAAAAAAAACAGATCGTATTGATTTTAACAATTCTCCTTATGATTATTTGAAAAGAAAAATGTCGATGTATAGATTTTTAGTCAATATAAAAGCTTGATATGGTCATTAATTATTTATTAATGTGTTCTGTCGGTCATTTGTGTGACTTGTGTGATAGTAGAGCCAATGATTAATGAGTAAGGTACGTCAAGCTTCAATTGTTGTTGTGTGCATGTGTTTATATTATATACATTAAAAACAAACATAGTCATGAAAGCGGGTGAAGTCGTTATACTTGAGGACAAAGATTTTCTTGATTTTAAAAACGAATGTATTACTGATCAAGGATGGAGAATATGTTATGAAAAATCATCATGCCGTGTAGCAACTAAGAAAAATTCTCTATCAGCATTTGATGTTGTTCGTGTAAGATAATAAAATTGATAAATCAATACGAAAATATATATGTATTCGATTTGTTTAGATTCAGTCAGACTTTAGTGATATTTCAGCTGAATTACTTTATGATGTTATACATGATGGTCAATATCGTTCAACATGGGATACAGCTATGATAGAAGGATATGAATTATGTGCAGTCTCATATAATAGTGATATCGGATATTATTCAAGTTCAGATGAATTAATTATTTTGAATTATTATTATAATTATTAGTTGCTTTTTTTTTTTAGTGAAAAGCCCAACACCATTTAAAAACCGTGATTTGGTTACACAGCGTGCTTGGTTGGACCATGGACGCAATCAAGAAAAGATTATTATCAATCATTCTGTCAATCATTTGGTAGATATTTTTCATCTACTTTTATTTTTTTATACAACAAAAAAAACATTGCCTTAATCTTTAGCGTGAACCACCACGTAAGAATTTTGTACGTGCAATATCCTATGTAACTGGTTACTTAATTATACCGATGGGACCATCATCATGTAGATTTTATTATATGACACAAAGTGATCCTGGAGGTATTGTGACTTTTGTTTTTTTTTTTTATGAATGAAAATTAACTTGTAAAGAAATACATTTTTTCTCTTTAGGTAATTTACCAGCATGGATAGTAAATAAAGTATCTAAGACTTTGGTCCCTCAAGTAAAAATATCTTTTTATAAAAATAGTTTAAAAAAATTTTGTGTATAGGTGATAAAAAAATTAACTAAAGCATGTGCTAAATATGATAAATGGAAAACTAAAAATCAGCCATCATATAAACCATGGTTATATCCTGAACAAATGAAAGTAGGAAATTTTAAGCAAAGTGATATTGGAAAATTTGATGCGAAAGAAACATTAAAAGCATCGGCCAATAATGATGAAGGAGCTGTTCAAGAAAATGCTGTTGAATTTGATGATTCTGCTCAAGAAGACTAAAAATTGTATTTTGCGATTTATGTCTTTCACTATATATTGGGGTGATGGGAGATTCTTTTTTTGTGAAGCTTGATTATCTTTATTTGTAATTGAAGATCTGGGTTATTTTTCTATTTCTTTTTTTGCATTATAATGTCTATGCTTTTTTGAAAGAATAACATATGAATAAACTCGTAAATATTAAGAACAATAATGATAGGGCCAAAAAGAAAAGGAATGGCAACAGATTTTATCAATAATAGTTTTAGTTTTGTCAATCGAGGAGACAACAAGAAAATAGAAAATCATATGTCACTTCGAAAAATTCTAATTCTCTCTCTGATTTTGGCTACATTAATTGTACCATTTACTCAATTATCATTTGGTTTTTATTATATTAAATCGATTGATTTATGTCCACTTCAACATGATATTGCGTTATTAATGTCTATTGGTGGTGTATTTCAAGCAATTTTCTTTGCTGCTGCTTTTGCTTTTATTTATTTAATAACACCGGCAAGATTTAAAATAGGAGAAAAAAAAGAAAGCAATCGAATTTCACAAATTCTTATTGGTAAATTATTTTATATTGGTTTCTTTTTTTCGAAGTAGATTTATTATTTAGGTTGTATAACATGTATAGTTGGCACTTGTGCGATTATATTTTTTATTCTTATACAAGTTCGTGTATATGGAAATTATAAAAAATTTCAATGGAACGATGCTACTAAACCAAATTATTGTTTATTTACAATTTTCTATAGTGCTTTGGGATCAATAATTGGTACTTATGTTGCTTTTATATTGTTTTCTACTGTTACGATTATATTACTATTTGGAATTGCAGCATAAAAATGTGAAATTTTGATAAAATATTGATTATTTTGAGGCAAATGTTCTATATGCTTTTAATTAGGTTAACATATACGATTGGCAATAATTTGAGTTAACCTTGGTCGAAATATGTTCGACCATGGTTGATTTCAAGTCGAGTCATAGATAATGAAATTTTTAATGTTACACAAATAAAAGCTCTATGTTGTTTTATGGCACAATTGTGCTGATCAATTTAGTACTACCAGTATCAGCATGTAAAAAATTGTAGATGGATTCGACTGCGGTTAAATTAATCATTATGCTTTTAGATTGTTTTCAGTGAATGTTGACTTGAAATAATTAATATCGAAATGTTTATTTCACATATCGAAAACTCTAATTTGATCAATCAAAACTATGGAATCATTTCGATAATAATAATTACATTTTAAAATCCTGTAAACGAACAAGAATACAAAAAAAAAAAGATTGCAATAGTTTACCATGTATATTAGTAAAAATTAAACTGGCAACTTTATGTAGTTTATTTGCTAGTTAAAACAACCTTCATAATATCGATAGTAGACATTCTTTGTCGTCAATTCTACTTTCTCAGAATACAATAATAAAATGTTTTATCGAATTCAAATATAATGATAGGTTCTATTAATGAATTATTTATTGATAAAACAAGTATGTTTAAATCGTTGGATCAAATAGAATAAATTTTATTAATGACTCATACATATATCTATTCTTATTCTATTCAAATATTGACAATTATTTTTATATTAGATAAGTAAAATGAATCTAGTACTACCTATCTATTCATTCATTATGAAGTAAATAGAAACAAAGTCCTTGTAAAACATAGTAAACAATTTATTCATTTTATTGAGTAAATTTTCATTAAATTAAAAATTTGAATACAGATTTCTATGACTTTAAAATCTGTTTAGATAATAAAGTATTTCTTTTGTTTAGACACATCATACTCATATGAATCCTATTATTAATAGAAAGAAAAGTTGTTAGCGTAACCCCTGGAGGGTTAAAATGTGAAATATGATGCAGCTGCTGTTACTAATCACATGGAGATTGTTTCATTCGTTCTATTTCGGAATATATTTCTTCATCATCCTTTTACTTAGTCATCCATAAATGTAAAGAGAAAGTAGTTCATATATTATGACGAGACATTTTTGATATACGGTATGTGACACGAGCGGATGGGGAAGAATTGCCTTTTAGATCATGTTTCACAAAAATGTGAACGAATTATGATGAATAAATGATTATATGATACAATTCTTCTATTAATAACGGATGTCACCATTTTCAGGAGTGTTCTCAGATTACCAAGTTTGAAGACTTTAAATTGTATAATATTTTTCATGAGGGAAGATAATTGTATTAATCAGTTTCAATATATTCTAGAATAGATATTTCTATCGAGCAATAGAATTAATTATTTATGGTATTGTATTGCATTGGATAATATTCGTTCATGAATATTCATTGCATGGTTCTTCGAATTCGTCAAGTAAGCTTGGAACTTTTTTGTTCATCGGGATCGATCCGATACAAGTAACTGAAGAGAGTCTCTCGGATTGTTGGAGCAAAAATCAGGTTTGAATTACAAACATAATTGGCTGATTTCTTTCTTAATACATAAAAGGAAAAGAAGCGATGAGTAAATGAAAGTCTCTCAGCAGGAATAACTTGAAACATAATTTCACTTGTATATATGTGTTTATGTCGTTGGCAAGTATGTAGGCAGTAATCGAACGGCTGAGGTGGGAGTAAAAATTTAAACGACACTAACACTTACAGAAGAAGAAGAAATTCAAACGAATATTACAGAGAGGAAGAGATTCCTTTAGAATCTATAACATTGAAGACTATACTGTGAACAATTCTAAAATTATATCATAAACGTTAACTCATGGCAACAACCTATCGTTCACGTGGTAAGTTATCTCTTCAAGAAAAATTTTCATTTATTTTGACTTTATTTTAATTAGAAACTGTACGTCTTGAACCATCAGCACGTGTAGTCCCTACAAATTATACTTACCCTACGAATTATGCTTATTCAACGAATGATCAACCAATTAAAATTCGACAACAACAAACGCCTCATGTGTAAATTATTATACATATAAAATAATAATTTAAAATATTAAAAAATAAATAAATATTCTTTTAGAAATGTCGTTGTAACACAACCTGGTCGAGATGTATGGGAATTTGAACATCCATGGTCAACTAAACTTTGTTCATGTTGTGCAAACATGAAACTATGTAATATATTATTTAGTTCTTTTCTTTTTTGTTCTATTAATCTATAATTACTTTTTTTTGTTGGAAAGGTTGTTTTGCTTTCTTTTGTCCATGTTGTTTTGAATATAAATTATACAAACGAGCCGGAGAGAATATATGTTCATGTTTATGTCCTGGTTCAAGATTTGCATTACGATCAAAAATTCGTACAGCATTTCGTATTGAGGTAATTATATTTATAATTAATTTAAAGATAGAATTGATTTCATCAGCAGAAGAAGATTCTTGTATAGCTTATTGTCTAATTTAGACGAGAAATTTTTTAGATTTTCTCATTGAAATTCTTATCTTTACATATTTATACATTATAGAATAGTTTGTATGAAAAATAATATCTTATTTTAAAAGTTCTTTGATTAAAACCAAAGATAGAAGTCAACATAGAATTAGTAGAAGTACACAATTTTACCCGAAATTCAATTAATATAATAAAATAGCAATAACACTTTTCTTCAAAATTCAATGTTTTAGAAGGTTATCAAAATTTCATTCTTTACTATATAGATCATAATGTTCCACAGACCGAGCATTCATCTTAAAAATAATAATATATTGAAAAAGACAAAGAATGAAGTACATCAAATAAATCGAATTGAGATACTTAAAAATTAAAAAAAAAAGACACAAATAAGTAACCCATGAGATTCAAATGGGACTAAACTCGACAGTAGACCATTTGGTATAAAGTGCGCTATACCATCGGTAGTTTTATAGTGTTGCAACTATTATTGATTTCTAAATAATTGATTACATATCTATTTAGGGTGACTTATGTAATGATTGTTGTGTTTCAACATTTTGTCCATGTTGTAGTGCTATTCAATTGGCTCGCGAATTACATTATCAAGGTCTTTGAATTTGAATATCTATATAAGAACCTGATTAATAAAATAAATATTTATTATCTTTTTTTTTAATATAATAGAAGGAAAAAAAACAAGCATTGATTATTTTTTTTTGAAAAATTTATTTATTTGTACAGGGTTGAAAAAAAAAAGCAAACTTAAAGTTGGTTGAGAAATGTCTGTGCTTGATAAAGTGATTGACAAGTTTGTCTTTCGAAAAAAAGTTTTTTTGAATTAAGTTCAACACATGTTAATCTATGTTTATTAAATAATGTTTTCAATGCCGTCCACATATATGCTTGATAAAGTTCATTTTGGGATTTTATTGATTTAAACCAAAGACACAAATGAATACAATTACTTGCAAGTAATATTGATGGACGCTATGAAAAATAAATAAATCAATGAGATTTCATCAAATACAAAGCTACTAGCCCTAATTTCTAGAATATCAATATGTGAAACTGCTGACATTGTAAAAGAATTTAGATTTCTATTTGTCAATTTCTATCCTACGGTCTAAGTATATCAATGATGAAAGATGATAATCATTATAGATTACAATTTATAATATCAACAGTTTTATCATGTTTCACCACTGTTGTTCAACAAAATTACCTTTTCCGGATTTTTGCGAAGCATTGAATGTACAAGTCGTTCGATAATTGAAGGTGCTTTTGATGAAAATGATGGTAATTTTTCATCATCATAGTTATCTTGTCGAAGTGTACCATGAAAAAATGGATTTGTTTGAGAAAAAAATTCATAACATAAAGTGCCACTTGCCCAAAGATCCGATTTCCTATAATCAAGATAACATTTTGGACCTGGTTGACATGTTAAAATCTAAAAACATAAACGAATAAATTTTATTTCATTTTTATCATAGTAAAAATGAAAAGTTTACTTCAGGTGCCATTAATGCAAGATTGCCACCTTTAGAAATTTCATCAGTTTGATACGAAACTTTTAAATCTGGTGGATGATAAAGTGCACAACCAAAATCTGCTAATACTAATTCACCGGTTTCATTACAGATAAGTAAATTATCACTTTTTAAATCTCGATGAACAATCGAATGATTATTTAAATATAATAAAGCTTCGAGTAATTGTGAAAAAAGTAATAAACGTTCATGAGTATTTGGTTTATTTAATTGAATATATTGATTTAATGTTAAATCATATCGTCGCATAACAATAAATAATGTTTTATTTCGTCCATAACTATCCGATGATAAACGTGTTGGAATAGCCATTGGATAATATTCATGTGCTTCATTTAATAATGGAAATGAATCAACAAAACATGAATACATACGAACAACATTTGGATGATAAAAACATTTACGTAATGGTAATAATTCTTTTTCCATAGCTTTTTCGATTGCTTCGGCATTTGATTGAATACCATAATTAAATAACATTTTTATTGCTAAATTAAATTGACCGGCTAGAAAAAAAATCAAAAATAAATGTGTCATTGTTTTTTTAATTGAAATAAAAAATCAATAGAAATTTTTACCTGGTAAAACATCCGAATTAATATTCGACGATTGATTCATATTTGTTGATACTCGATATCGAACTAGAATTAAATAATAAAAGCTATTAGCACAATCCCTGTAGGATTACAATGTTGAACAAAAATTTTCTTTACAAGGTGGTTTTATGACATTTTTTATTAGTATCTTATACATCCCATCCTAAAATGTAGTAGAACTGTTGTAACTCAATAGAAAAGGTTTCATAGACTAAAATTGTTATGAAGGTTATTTTACTTCAGAGATTTCTTCTAGGCAACTAAAATATAATTTCAAAAACAATGCTTAATGTCGGACAGATTTCTCGTCAGTAGAATCATTCATCTGTATAATTTTTATTTCAAAGAACTTTACTGATGAGGAAACTATTCAGGAAAAAAAGCATTTTCTGATTAATACACGCAATAGTAACATAAATCTAGACGTTTTACATATTCTACTATGATACAAAACTCAATTCAGATTTGATCTTTTAAAGAAACCTTGTTTTTTTTTCGATGATTAAAATTTTTTTGTTAACAATAAGAAAATGTTGCAATAGAAATTACTTCCGATTTTCTCACAAAAGGAAATTCAGTATTTTCTTTCTCAGTCGGAACACTATATCTAAACTAATTATTATTGAAAAGAAATCACCTTCTTTTAACGTCAGTTCATTGAGTCGATCTTCATTAACATCATTACAAATATCATTTATATCTTCATACAATGAAGATGATGACGATGATGAAATATTTGATGATTGACGTGAAAGTATTTCAAAATCACTTTCATTTGAATGGTTTTCAAAATGTATGTTAGAATTTGATGGTATAGTATTAGATGATGATCGAAGTCGTGCTTCATATACAGCTGCATTACAACCACAACCAAGTAAACGACCTAATTCATAATCGTCGAGTGATGCTCGACTATATTTTTCATGTTCATCATTAAATTGATCCACGATAGTTGTTTTAGAAAGAAGATTACCAATTTTATTTAATGTTTCATCAAGACGAAAATTATCAATAGATGATTGTTGAACAACTGAATAGCCAAGTAGACCCAAAATAAGACGAGAACTACTTGGTGCTAAAAAAAAAAAAAAAGAAAACACAATGATTAAGATCAAATATCAAAAAAACGATATTATTTTCTCATCATGCAAAATTCTTTCTAAGAATAGACTAATCTTTGAAGAAATATTTTCTTAATGTGCACTTTTCTTTTTCTCTTTATATTCATTATTTTATATGTAACTGAATGCAACATGACTACTTTTTATAATCTATGTCTAAGAGGAAGGAAATTAAAATAATTCAAACCGGAAATTGTTTTTTTGCACTTAAGTTGTACACTAGAAGTTATTTATAAAAGAAAAAAAAAATCAAAAGATTGATTGTATCAAATTATTTTACATGATATTTCTTGTTCTTCATGAAATTTTAAATAAATTAGTGACTATACATTTTATTCCAGAAGAAAATATATGCCTACTCGTGTAGATAAATATTACATAGAACAAATAACAATAATGTGGAATATTCAAAGAAAAAATGTTTAACTAATAGAATATCTAGTGTGACTTACACTTGTATACTCAATTGACAGAATTAAAATTTAAAACACTTGTTTTATAGGTCATCTGCTATTTTTCTCTGACGAACAATTAACAGAACATGTTTTTTTTCCTCCCAAGCTACTACCAGTCAGTGCAATAGAGAAAAGAATATTTAGAAAGAAACTGTCTTTCTTTTCTCGTTCATATTGTCCTTCTATTTATAACACTACTCAACACAATGCCATTGAATTGTTATATCATACAAAAAAAAAATAAAATAAAACGATTGAAAAATACACACCAGCAAAAAATAATCGTCGTTTAATTTCATTCAAAGCATTTCGGAATGGCATTAAATGCGAAAGATTTTGTCCATTTGATGAAACAAAAATTGAACGATAAATTGAAGGAAATAAATAATATCTTTGAGGATATTTTGAATAAATTTGATGAGTTTTATTCAATTGAGGTTTTTGATTAATACGAGTTGTAAATATAGGTTTAAATGGGCGAGAAATAAATGCTCGACTAAGTCGAACAATTAATGAAGCTGTTCCTTTAAATACCATTATATAAATCTACAAGAAATTCAGATAAAGACAAACAAAAAAAAAAAAAAAAAAGATAATTATGAATTATATTTCGAGAAATATAAAAAGAAAAAGAAAACAACTAATATAGAAATAAATCAATGTTTATGATATTTTTTTAATGATTGATTTTTATCTAAACGTTTTGATGAAATACGATCATCAATTGTTTTATGTACATTTGATTGATTATCTTTTGGTAAAATTTGAACTATACGTTGATTATTATTTTGTAATGATTCATTTGTACGACGTTTTTTTATTAATTGTCGAAGATCAAAATCATCAGAATTTAATTTAACTGTTATTGAAACAGGATGTTCTTTAATCGATGAAGATTTTTTCGTATCTTCATTTTTTCGTCGTTCGGTTTCTTTTGAAGATAATTTATTATGATTATGTTCATTATAATGGGAAGGTTTTTTTAATATTTGTTCTTTGGAATGATTTATTACTAATGTTTGTTGTTCATCTTGTATTAGTAAATCATCATCTTGTATAGGACAATTAACAATAAGTGCATCATCATCATTATTATTTAAAATATCTTGTGGAAAACGTTCATCAATATCACCAATTGTTTGTTTATCTTTTGTTTCAAAACGATAATCTTTATCATTTTTATCTAATGAATTTGAACTAATTGATGATAATGATGATGATGAATATGATCTACTAATAGATGAACGACTATAACTAGAACGTGATGATGATGATGAATAAGATCGTGATGATGAACGAGAATTTCGATGTATTGGTGAATGATCATATGTATTCTTTTAAATAAAAACAAAATAGATTTATTATCTTTTTAATTTAAAAAAACAAACAAACAAACTTTGCGTTTATTAGAATATAATGTTTTAAGTGCAGCTGTTCGTAATGCTTCTAAATCATCATCATCATCATCATGATAATTTTTCTTTGTTGTATTTGACATTTGATATGAAGAATAATGAGACATTGGAGTAATAGATTGTGATTGTGTATTATCAAAAAAATTGTCTGTTGTTATAGGATAATATGAAGATGTCTATACGAAGAAAAAAACAAACAAAATTAAAGTTTTGTATTTTTTATTTTAACAAGATAATTTCTTTAAAATCAAAATCTTACCATGACAAAATTGATAATATGTTGCAACTCAATTTCAAATTTATGATTAATAACTAATGATTTAGATTTGACATCAATAAGAACCAATGAATAATAAGTGCGTCATTATATTCTAGAATAATACTCTTGTATTTCATTGTTATTGATCGACATCTATGTCGTAGTTAAGTATGGTAGGCTATTAGAAGAAGGATTAAAAGAGATGCTTGCGATTATTATTATCAGATAAAATTCCCATCAACGACATCTATATAAAATCTTGAAGCAATGATTAAATCAAGAAGAATATTATTATACAGATATAGATAAAAACTGCAAAACAAATATAATTATCATATGATCATTAAGGACGTCGACATATATTCTTATCAATTCGACAATAACTACGCATGAATGAATATTCAAAAGAATATTATATGCAAAGCGTTTGCAATCTAAAACACATGTTTATACAAATTAAATTCGTATACATTTTTGTGTTTCCCCATATTTTATACATACTAAGTAAACGACTCGTTAACAATCGTCCTAAGAACGCCATGTCATACACTAAAATATTGATGAATTACCGTCAAATTTTGCTAGACAATCTGTGAGCCATCTACGATATGATTTCATGACCATCCGTTCATATTTTGTACATGCTAATCCTTTTAGTGGAATATTTCAGCAAACGGACGAACTTTGTCAATTTAATTAAGAATTTGGTATCAATTGCATAACGGATAGTTCAATCTCCGCTGAATCAATATAATTTTGCGATGATTTTATACTATAGCATTCTCTTCAGTATGCGCACAGCATCAGTAGAATGACATTAAGTTTTTTTTTTGGCTTCTTCATGATTATAAGCTAAAACTAATGTATCAATTCGATTATAAACGACATCTATTGAAAATTCTTTTGACATTATAAGGAAGGAAAATGAGTCACGAACGATGCACTCGAGTAGTTTCGTTAGCAATCTATACCAATTTCATTAAGAATAAATTAAAATTTATAAAAAATTTACATGAATATTTTCTGTTAATTTAATAAAACACGAAATGGAATGAATAGTATATTTTAAACCAAAATAAAATTGGCGTTGATGAATGTTGTTCAAACATATAGTACTATTTTGATGAATAATTTTTATCCATTCTGACTATTGCACAGAATTATGTAACATTGTCATTTAATTTGGGAATTAGTTTTCTATTATATTCATGAAAACAAAACACAAGTTTTATTTTCTTCACAGCATAAACTAAAGTATTCGATCGAACTGAAAATGACGTTTTCGGAATATTCAAACTCAATCATATTTGATGATTTTGTACTTAAAAAAAATATTGCAAATAGTCATGTTTGTATAACAATATGAATCATGTATGAGAAAGACGTCATTTTTTTTTCAAGCATAATAGCAAGTTATAAAAGTTTATATTTAGGCAGAATAAGTTGAAAACAAAAGCTTCAAGTTGATGTTCGTTCTTTTTTTCTTTTTCGTCTATCATTTGCTAATGATGATGCAATTCATTTAAACTAAAGAAAAGAACATGGCGACATTCATTTTAAACGACAGCCAATTAGAAACATCTGAGTATCTTCATAAATTTCGAGTAAGAATAAAAGTCATATGATTTTTTTTTATAAAAGTAATTTTTTCTTTTTCAAAGAAAAATGTAAATAAAAATCATCAATTAGATCAAATGTTTCATACGAAAAATAGGAGTGAGTTATATAGTGTCTAATCTATTAAAAAGAAAAAATAAATTTTGATACAGCCATGTTAACTGATGATTATAGTATTGTGATCAAGCTTTATTGTCCTTAGACACTTACATTGATTCTAAACAAAGAAATCTTCTTGATAGAAATACAACTGTTTCAGTTGCAGATACATCTAGTGAGTTTATTTAAATTAATAAATAAATCAGACTATTTTTTTTATTATTTTACAGCATTTGTGAGAGATAACTTTAATGTTTCTAATAAGCAATTGTTTTTACGTTCTAAAAATCATGTTAATTTGAAAACAATTGAATCTGATGAAGAAGCAAATAATGAAACATATTTTAAACAATCAACAGGTAAGATGATCTTAGAATGGTATGAATCGATTTGATAAGGGAATGTCTGTTACTAACCATGCTGATTCTGAATATGACTATGAAAAATTCTCAAAGATTTTTTTCTTTGCAGAAAACACAGTCATTCTTATTTATATAGCAGATATATATATCAACAATTCAATATGAAAATTTCTAGTATAATGTTATTTTATTTGAAACATATTTTTTGAAAACCGATAAGATTATTGACTTATAGACAATTCGATATCCTTCATAATTTGAGTAGATCAAAAAGTTATTTTAGCAAAAACTGTTTGTTAGTGTGGAAAACTAGTATATATATATACAATTGATTAATTTGAAAATTTTTACAATTTTGCAGATCAATACCAAAATATTTCAATGACTAACAATACTAGACAACAAAAACGACATATTATGATAAGTTATAATCGTTCATCAATTAAAATATGTCGAAAAATCTATCATCGACTTGTAGTAAATATATATATGTACATTATATATTTGTATAAATTTTATTGTTTTTAATAATAGGAAAAAAATTATAAAGTATGGATGGATCTTGAACATATGTTTGATGATATACTTGTTGCAATGGCACAAGCAATTGAGAATTCATATATTGTTCTTCTTTGTATTAATCAGCAATATTATGAAAGTGATTATTGTCGATTAGGTAATCAAATATTTATTTATTTAAATAATTAAGTTAATTATTTCTAGAAGCTGAATATGCAGCTGAAAATCGAATTAAATTTATTCCATGTTTAATGGAAAACGAATTTCGTCCTAAAAGTTGGTTAGGTATTATTAGTAGTTTATTCATATATTATAGGAATCATATATTATTTGAATTTTATTGTTTTTTTCAACTTATTCATATGAAATATAAGAATAATGAGTAAAGGTTCAAATTTTCATATTGATTTTTCATTACCGAATGATTTTGATCAATCATTTGAACGATTAATTCGTCAGATTACTTATATTGAAAAACAATTATCTTTACAACCTCGTAATTTTTTTTTTTTTGCTGATTGAACTAAAATTTCATTTTGATAAATCAACATAGGTCGTACTCCTGCTCCAAATTCAATGATAAATCCAATGATAGCAGCATCAGCATCCATTCCAATAATAACCGATAATGTTAATTTATATAAATTTGATTCAATTATACATGAATATAAAAGAACAATAAATAAGACAAAATATCATTTAAATGAATTAAATCGAAATGAATTATGTGAACTTATTCGTAAAATTCGTCAAGAATTATTTAATGAAAAAACAAAAACATTATTAACTATTGAACAATCAAATGACGAAGATTATAAAGAATTTTTACAACAATTTGTTGATCAAAAACTTAAACAAAATGAATTATTATTAAAATTAATTGATGATTTAACAGGACAACAATCTATAGAACAACATAGAAGACATAATTTTAATGTCGATAGTATACTAAAAGTACTAGTGGGTATTATGCTTCTATGGACATTAGTTTTATTTTGTCACAAATGATAAAATATTTCTTTTTCTTTTTAATATAATTGATTTTATCTGTTTGTTGTAGAAAAGTGTGAAAAATTTTCTTGTCATAAAATAGTTTTCATATATAGGACAATTATGAAATCAAACATAAATAGTAATAAAGGGGAACTTGTGCAGTTGATAAATTGTGTTTAAAATGAATTTTTATCTGATCAGATAAGAAGTTTCTAACAATAGTTTCGAATATGATGAAAATGACAGATTTTTTTTAGTATTTTCTATTCTGAAATTTAAATAGAAAAACAAAGTTTGCTCTTTTTGGGATAACAGAATTTTAATTTTATTATTGAAGCATAGAATATTGGTGTAGATCTGATAGTTTCGTAATAAACGTGTTTCACAAAGAGCTTCATCTATGCAATAATTTATAAGGTTTCATCACGGGTGAACACTTGACGATCAATTACTTTGACTCATACCAAAACCAATCTATATTTTAGATTTATTAAAGTACTATTTAAGATATTTTAAAAGTAGAATATGACACGAGTATCTACAATGTTTACACAAATCTCAATATACTATTGTATTATATGAGGATTGAGGAAAGATCAATGCATTACTACCGATCATCTCTGACATATTGAACATGAATTTTTATCTATGCCAAAATCAGGAACTGTTCTATTTAGAAGTAGACGTACAGAATCTATCTGTGTGCGCCAACACGTGTTTGGAGAAACTAGAAAATTATTCGACTGTAGGAATTTTTTTGTTACCAATAAAAGCATCAGCTTCGTACACAGTTTGCTAGACTTATTTATTGATAAGAAAGTATCGAAACAGATTCTTCTTTTATTCCATTACGCAATCATTACTTATTGGAATGAAAAGTGTTTCTATTCATTGATAATTAATAAAGACTAATTTTTTCATATGATCTTTTGAATGTGTGCTAAATAAATCGACTTCTGTTTCGTTTTCTTCGAACATGCGATTGGAAAAAATAATCTGGCTTTTCCTTTATTTTGATAGCAGGAGACATTTTTCGTTTTAGTGGCAGATTCTTCATATCTGTTTTAGAACAATTATAAACACATTTCAATCATTCAACCTTGTAGGAAGAGCAAAGTTTTCTAGAACTGTCTAAGACTTGTTGTTAAGACCGTTCAACTCCTTTCTTCGTTGGTAAGGAACTCTGGGAAAGGAGTTTGAAATCTGTTGACCTCAATTGCTATGAAAACGTACCCAATGATGATTGATCTGTCCTCTACGATGGACGAAGCTGCAAAAGTTCGATTATTTAAGCTAGTCCTTGACATAGATATTCACTTGCTTGCTTCAGATGAATAATCAAGGATTGACAAATAAACTGTATCGTATTCTTGGAAAAGTTCATGTTAAAACAGAAACAATTACTCAATGTTGTTCTGAATTTTAATTATATAAAAGAAAAAAAAAAGATAATTCTACAAAACATAAAGGTATTTTTTCTTTCTGAGCTAGATAATTCTTACACGCACACACATATGAATACAACAAAACAAAAATGAATTAACAAGTTAAATTCATCGCATTCGCTATATTAAAAGTTCCATGTGGTTGTTTAAGTACCATAATTGTTACTCGAATATATATTATTGCAAAAATAATTGTATTAATAAGAACAATGGCAGCTCCACCTATTTGAATAAGAAGAATTAAACATTGATATGATGCTTCACGTGATGGTTCATTTGATTTTGTTATACATCGTTTTAGATAAAAATCAGTATGTAATAAAATTTCAGTAATCGTAAACATAAAAGCTAAAATGAGAATTAAATGATTTTCATCAATGAATTAATAGTAAAAAAATATTTCGTTTTACCAACAAATTGTATAATCAATACAGCTGATGTTTGATGACGTTCGCGGTCAGTACTAATCACTAATTAAATAGAAACAAAAAAAAAATACATTTAAATTTCTATATTATTATTTTACAAACCAAGTACAATAGCAGCTGTTCCAGCAAGTGCATAAATAAATCCACACCAAAGACCAATAGCAATATCAAAAATTAATACTTCAAGTACAAGAACAATTAATCCACCAAGTATTTCAAATAAACCTAAAACAGCTACAAATATAGTCGGCAAGTTCTTCTGAAATGGAGGCGTAAATGATCTAGTTATTGAAATTTCTTTTGTAAGAGAAGATAAATTTGATTCATATGATACACAAGCAGATTGTTGAGTATTATTATTTTCATATAATGATCGTATAGGTGATGACGAAACAATTGTTTCATATGGATAAATAATTCGAGATGATGATATTGTCGGAATATCAGTATCTATTTAATGACATGTTAAAATCAAAAAGAAATAAATTAATTGAATTTTTAAATAATGACTTACTTTCATACATCGAGTTGTAAGTTTATAAATTGTATCACGACGATGAACAACATGTACTAATCGAAAACAGGATAAAAATAGTTATGATAGACATCATTCAATAGAATAAGAAACGAAGAAAAAAAATACACATATCGAGGTCCGTCATAATATGAACGCAAATGAAACACACGTGATTGTGTTTATAAAAGAATAAATTGTGGATTTCTTGTGAATTATTGAAATAAATAAATAAATAACTAATATTCAACATAACTATTTCAATATTAAGAAAGTATCTGATAATATATGTTAGAAAATAAACATTCATCATTTCAATTGACATATCATCATACACATAGGTAGTGGAGCATTTTGAATCTACGTTAGGCTCAACAGTCTTTATAAAGTCCTCACCGGAAGGTTAGTAATAGGGAGTGTAAAGCTGGAACGATTTCGAAAGAGTCACATCTTGAAGAAACACAAACATTTACCTTTGATTAATTTTGATTCTCGAAAGAGGAGTTTTCGATTTTGCAAGTTTGTTCAATTTGTTGACAATATTTCTTAAGTATGTAAGCTTAGCCATTGAAGGTGAGAAAAACTTTCGGCAGCTTTTAGTTTATCTAAATCGAGTTCTCGATTCCATTGTTATTTCACTTCTCAAAAAATAGTATTACTTCAAGTTATAGGTAATGTAGGGCCCAACATTTAGTCATACAGAATTGACTATCTTCTAAGTCGCCTATAGTAGGAAAATGTTACTACTATTTGCTGTCGAAGATGGTGTTGATACTCAATGAGAAAAAGAAAACTTCACGAGGGTGCAGATGTTATGTGACATTGTCAAAATCATATGTGTCAAACTTGAATGGGTTTCTTTAATCAAATTTAATCAACGGGTCGGAATCAAACTTAAATAGATTTTGATTAAATTATAGAGTCGATGATGTCTATGATTGAGTGTTTTTAAAAATCAATCCTTAATTCGATATCATCTGTGATGATAAACTGAAAAATATAGCTCATAATCGTTTTGTTTCGAAATGAAACATGAAATACTCATGTGATTCGAATCGCAGATTTGTAAGATTGATAGTCAAATATAAATTCTATATAGGTTTTCAAAATAATAATAAAGATTGGAAACCATAAGAAAGATTCAATTTCGACACGGATGCCACAACTGTGTCATGAACGAGATTGGACAATTTCGAAAAAACGATGGAACTCAACTCTGCATTCGCATTTATTTTTTTTCAAATGATGCTTTCTAGATAAATGTTCATCTCAAGTATATTTTCATTTAGAATTCTTTTATTGTATTGAATTAAGTTTTAGATGACTGACTAATCTTCGATTAATTTAAAGTTGAAAAATTTGCCTTTATTCTCTATGATAACGTCTTCTGCTATCATGTTTGTAGATTGTTATTTAGAAAAGTTTTCTATTCCTTTCTCTTTTAGATATTTAATTTATAAACAAAAATGACTACTTATAGATTATTTTGAGAAAAGAACTCATATCAGAGCATCAATTTATACTAAAGATTACTTTGGTATTTATTTTCTCTGTCTTTTTTAATTGTATTCTCATTTAATTGTGAGAAATCACTTTTTTTTCATGCATAATAATGCAAGCGAGCAATTTTTAATGAGATTTGAGTAGAAGATAAAACAATGGAGTGAGGATAAGAAGAAAAAAAGGAAAGGAAGGTCAACAGGAGACGATATCAATACCGATACATACGTACAATACGCTTTTACTGTCAAGCTAATGAGCGAAATTAATCGATTATAAAATCACGATTTATCGCGATGAGTCATCAATTGTTTTAGCGATTTCGAGGACATAAATAGATATTGAAATAATCATCTTATATGACACATGATTATTTATTTGTAGTTATAAAAGAAATATTGGAAATATTAAAATGATATTTAAAGAATTAATTTTTCATCTTATTCTTTTTTTAATGTATTTCTCGTTTTGTACATTGATGCTGAAGGTCGAACCCGTGGAGTCGAATCAAAAAGAGGTATAAAAATACCGTAGACATGTAAAATCAAGTTAATTTTTTATTTCAAGTATAGACTCTTCTAGACATTCCTCAAGTAGTTCATCCGATGAGTTATCATCAAATCCTGTAGTATCCGGTTTGGGACTTCTTTCGGTGGTTTTCTGTTGTGTAAGTGCAGTAACTGTGAGAGTTAGGATATATTATCAAAAAGTAGGGCGTCGTAAACGTCTTGAACAACAAATGAATCGTCTAATTGATTGGCAAAGATACCTTGTATCAATATCTGCTATTGTTCACTTGAACGGAACTAATTTACAGACAGATACTACAAATGTAAGAAAAAAAGAAAATTTCTTTCATTTTACCGAACTTCAATTAAAATTTGTCATGTCCTATTATGTATATTCTATACAGTCTACGCATTAATATATAATGAGAAATGTATTTCAAAATTTTCGATTTATAATTCATTAAACCTATATTTAATATTGAAACTTTCTTTTTCTTTGTTTAGTTATCATGTAATAGATTAAAAACAGCTGAAGTCACTTGGGCGTTCGTATTTCTTTTACCTCCGTATGGTGAATATCAAAAAATAATTTAGAAAAAAAATATCAGAACAATTACAGGTTCCAGATTGAATTTATCCGTAATAAACAACAAACAAAGAAGTAAACTGTTTAGTAACTATTCTCACTGAAAATGCTGCAATAACATTGCACACTAATTGAAGAATATATTGTCATAAATCTACTTTCGATGAAATTTTCAATAACGAGATGTTTTGCTTACTTTATTGTTTTTATATGGGTTTGAATTTTTGTTTAGAATAAAGTTCGTGTTGAAACAAATCTACGAGTTAAAAATATTTCAGAGACACAAAAATTTTTTAAACTTGAACTTATTTTATGTATATTTACAAGTGTTTATGACAGATAGAATTTTTTCAGGTATTTATTCATAGAAAGAATCATTGGTAAAATACAATGAGCAAATTTTATTGAAAAAAAAAGTAAAATTCTTTCTATGGATGGCGCGAATGTTTTTTTTTTTACAATTTAGTCTCATTCATTATTTTCAATTGTTCTACGTATGATACAACGTTTTTTTTTGTATGCATTCAAAAATGTTTTCTAGGTGTGGCTGTCAATAAGGATACGCCACACCCTCAAATCTAATGAAAATAGTCATTATGGATGGTAGAAATAAATTTGTCTATATGACAAAATTAATTCGTGATAAATTTATGTTTAATCCAGTTGAATGTATTCTTAAATTTGATTCGAATATCTTCTTCAACATCAAAACAAAATGGTTCAAAGCTATTATTATTTTGTCGTTTACATCGTTGTATAGCAAGTGTAATAGGAAATCATGTTTGCACGACAACAAAATTCAAAAATAATATCAATGGATGATGTTGAAAATTTAATTTGTCAACGTTTAAAATTGCTTTAAGTAACATGTATTGATTATCTTGAAATAAATTTAGTTTATAAAACAAAAGTAAACTAAAAATTGATCCATCTGTTGATGAAAAGGCTGTTTATTTAGTTGCCTAAGATGAAGAAAATATAACATTATATATTAGTATGAAACATACCGAACTACCATATTTTACATTATGTATAGCACATGCATTAAGTCCATGTTTAGGTTTATGTGAAGTACAATAAGATAATTCTGTTACGGCTGCATTATTAGTAACAACCATTGGAAAAATGTCTAAATTATTAAATTTAACTAATATTTCTGATGAAGAAAATATTTTATGCAAACTTAAATTACAATGTAAACCATCATTGGGTAACGTTTATGGTAACGATATTGAACAATTACAAAAATTTACTTAGGGCAATCCAAAGGTAGTGGCATACATACTTTATTTCGGTATAGAAAGCTCGAGAAAATTTTCTTTTTATATGTAGTGATAGTAAAAACAATGCTCTATTTTTCTATAGTATTTCGTCATTCTTCAACTAATATCATAATAATAAAATTTCGATAGGAGCTGTTTTTTTTTATCTCTATGTGATGGTTATACTAATGTCTATCTAAAGAAAATGACAGAGTGGATATTTTTTGAATAACTTTTGATAGAAATACAAGATAGAGAGCTGCGGTTTTTATTGTTCGAAAGAAGAGATGAAGATGCATCGAATCGTATATTAAAGGTTTTTGACATGATGCTTTTGAGGCTTTTAATAGATCTCTTTGGAAACAAACCAGCACTGGCCAAGTTCCCAGGAGTCGGGAACTCAATGGGAACTCATTGGGAATTGGGAACTCAAACGGTGTGGGTGTGCGTGTTTTTGAAAAAAAAATTTTTTTTCGAAAGAAGTCTGTTTCTACAAAAAAAAAATTTTTTTCAAAAATAGGACTTGAGAACCCTAGGGTGGAGGGCTGCGGACGGGAGACGGTTACAAAACCGTTACCAGTTACCTGGGAACGTAACGGTAACGTCCCACACCCACCCATACCGTTGGATTTCCCAATTCTCAATGAGTTCCCATTGAGTTCCCGACTCCTGGGAACTTGGCCAGGTCTCAAAGAATTCATCAATCGAGAATAGCAAAGTAAATTAAAATAGCTCAGAGAAAGCTATTGTTTTCTGACATGGAAGCCTACTCTAAGAAAGCACAAACTGCGAAACTGAGATGAAGAAAATCAATTGATTAGATTTGAATTTAAGAATTATTTCAAATGAGAAGTCACGATCGGAATTCGCTGGAAAGTCATGCATTCATGACGCTTCTTGTTCCAGACTATATAAGTGATGAAATTGGCCTATGTGACGCTCTCCACTTTCAACAAAATGATATTGTTCGATTAAATAAAATACAAGTGCAAATAACCCTCAGTTGGTTTGTCTATAGTTTCTTTGGAAATTCTACCAGAATTCAGCCAAGCAGTATTTTAATACACCACTCTACTGGATTTTTTCATTTTATACAAATTTAAAAGTTAGATGACATTAACTTGGCTTTTAGATCGCAATACTGATCTAAAGTAAGACACAAAATGACAGTCTGTGCGTTATTCATAGTAACAAAGAATGGACACTTCGGTCAAACAAACGTTCAGTTTTCTTGAAAAAAGTTCTCTTGAAGAATAAAAAAAGACTGCAATTAATGATACCTATTTTATAAAGTCGAATAATCTTTCGACCATTGATCAACTAACAAGTAAAAAGTTTCAAACGAATGCAATTACTGAACGTTTCATTGATAAAACTATATAAGTTTATCATACATCCGCTAAGGTGTCTTGTATAAAGAATGACTGCAGTCTTATTTTTATTAATCATTTTTTTACAAGAAATATATTTGCCATAATGTTAAAAGCGTTGTGTATTATATTTAAATACATTAGTTTGTACGCGATGGTGACGTGTCATTATCTTTGACGGGCACAATCATCGAGCATTTTTCTTCTTCACTATTTGGTTGTTGTAAATCATTTGATGATTGAATTTCAGGTTGCTCAGTTTCATTTTTTTCAATCTGTTTTTCAGATACTTCCTGAAAGGATCCAATTGGTACATGCACTGCTATATACCCAGTCATATTTGATAACTAAACAAAATGAATGATGTTTTTTTTTAAATAAATACAAATGCAGTGAATGTTTTTGAAATATCATTGTTGTGTAAAAGATAATAAAATAGAATCTTATTTTATTCTTACGTTCCTTTCATGAAGCTGTTGCATACGAGATACTTCTGATAAATTTGTGCAAATACGATGTACTTGTTCTTCAGTACGTTTACGGCGTTCTTCATTCCTATAACATCGATAAATTCTTCCACCTATTCCAGCTCCACAACAGAGTAGCATGAGAAGGAATCCTACAGCTGTGCCTCCTCCATTTGATGATGAGTCACTAGAAGAACTTGAAGAAGAACCACCATAAGATCCTATATTTTAAATAAACAAATTTTTTCATTTCAATTATTTTTACCATTCAAATGTGTTCTTACCTGCTCTCAATCCTCCCCCTCTTCCACGCTTTGCATCAGAATTCGAAAAAAGAAACATGAACAACACTATATTCAATATCACCAATTGAAACTTCATAATAATATGTCTATCCTTCCTTCTTATTATCTAGAATGAACCAGCAGTGGACAATAATCTGATCGGAAGAAAAATGATTATTTTCAGCGGAAAGATGCCGTTCAAGTCAAAAATGCGATCTTCCATATCAAGAAAAATATAACAGCAGTACCGGACTAGTACACCTAATCATGATGCATATCGATCTAAAGATGAATGAACCAATAAACACATAAACACATACATTCCATTTGGAAAAATGAAAACTCAGCGGAATAATGCATGAATGCAGCGGGAAAATACACGAGAGCACCAGAAAAATGGTTCCTATCAATGAGAATAATGCTATATAATAGCAGAAAAATGTTTCCCAGCTATCCATATTTACATATATACATACATTTCCGTTGGAAAAATGAAAACCCAGCGGAAAACGCATGCCAATGCAGCGGAAAAATAAACGAGGACAGCGAAAAAATGTCCTTATCAATCAGAATAATGCTATATGACACTAGCAAAATATTTTCAAGTTATACGTATGTAAGCAATCATTCAGCATCATCTTGCTCTTGATCTCTTTTCTGTCGATTTTCTCTCCCCTTTATCTTTGCTACTATTGTTATCTTTTCTTTATTTTTCTTTGCTCTTCTCTCTTATGATATTATACATATCTGTATAACACATTGAGGACATTTGAAAAATTATTTTATATAAAATAAAATTAAGCACGTGTAAGCAAAAGAACAACGTATTTACATATATACATACATTCCCTTCAGAAAAATGAAATTCCAGCGGACAAATTGCATGAATATGAGGGGAAAATGCTTTAATAGTGTGGAAAAGTGCTTTCTACTAAGACGAAAAATGATAGAAAAAGAAGAGAAATGACTCTTTAGACATATGAATTGTTAATGTTTCTATATTCATACACAATGAAGACAGAAACAAATATCTTAAAGAAATATGATATCTGAGAACTGAAATAATCCTGAAGAAAAGAACGAATATCGTTCATTATCACAGTACTGTAATACGATTATACATATGATTCTTTTCGAACTGAAATGCAAAGGAAAACACTAATTTTTCCGAAGAAGTCTGAAGCAAACTCATTTACTTTCTTGCTCTATTACTGTGCTGCGGAGCGAACGGTGAAGAAAAGATCGAAAGCTGATTGGTTTATCGAACTCATATTTTTCTTAATTGTTCAACTGCTACAAGATATTCACTATTTATGTACCAAACAAGTATGAGAGAGAAAGAAACACGGCATTGACTTCCACTTGCAAACCGATGTACTCTTGTTTCAAAATCCTTTCTGCATTTCCTCTGATGCAATCTCTTGCCTGTCAGTTACAAATGAAATCAGAATTTGTTTTTCTTTTCCTATACCAAAACATTTTAATGCTAAATCTTCCTTTTATCAAATGCACGATACAACGATAAAGCGAACAGCCTTTCTTTTGCTTTCAATCATTACTTCATTTCTACTGATCCCTTTTCTTCAGGAGAAACAGCCATTTACCATGCATTTTACTTTTTCATCTGATAAAGCATGCAAATAAGGGAAAACAAACCGCACTATTTTTCTCATCGAGAAAATGATCTGAACATTTTCCCCACACATTGTTCCTATGGATTTTCATTTTTCTGCTGAATATGTATGTATATAAGTAACCTTTAACTGAAGTATTTTTCTCATAGAAAAATGGTGGAAACATTATTCCTACTCAATTATTCCTATGAAGAGTCTCATGTCTCCTATGATTTTCATTTTTCATCTGTGTGTTGTTTTGTTTGTCTAAGTTAATCTTTTAAGAGAGGGCATTTTTGACCTGAACGATCCAATTCCGCTTAGAATTTGCATTTATCTCACTGATCGAAAAGTTGTCCAACGCTCACCCTTTCGTTACATAAAGCAATAAATATTGATCAGATCACAGATATAATCAATATTACTTTTTTTTCTCAAAATAATTCTTAAGTTTCATTCATACTTTTTCTTAACTCTTTGAAAATAATTTTTCTGTTTCGGTTTCAACATAAACTACGGATAAGAGAACGACTCGAGATACCAAAAATCTTTTCGGCTGGAGATATGACGGTTAGGTAGGGCATAACTACAAGTGATATACGCTAATATGGTTTGAGCACAAGTTGGGTGTGAGTGTGGGGTATTCAATGTGTGATTAGAAGATGTCCCACACAAGACCCATACCCACACTGTAACGAAAAAAGGGGGTTATACGGGGAGGAAATCGTTGAAAGATTTAATTAAATGATGAAATGAATGAGTTAAATGAGATGAGAGGAGTCCGATCTGTTTTTCGTATACTTGAGTTATAGTTTCTTTACTGAAGACAAGACACACACAAGTTATTTCTAGCTCGTACAGAGTACAACTACAAAAAAAGGCAAGCTACTTCTACCTCGTACAAACCATCACTCCCCCAACTACGACATCTCCTCTTTACTCTCCCCTCGCTCTATTTTCTCCTCTCCACTTCTCAGAGAGAGAACACTGTCCCTAAGAACAGGAGAACAAGAGAGCGAGGAGAATAGTGATCAAGAGAGAGAATGGAGAGAAGAAATTGAAATAGAGAAAAGCGAGGGCGAGAGGAAAATAGAGATGAGAGAAGGAGGAGGAAAAGGAAGGTGCCATATGTCAACTGGAATGGTGCATAGAGTGAGTGAACGTCCATCTCAAACGTAGGCGGAAGTGAAACACCCCTTGCCATTGTGCCATCCAAAAAGACGTCCATGCACTGATGCCCCTTGGTACACACACCCACATTTATTTTAGCAACTTCTTTGATTTAGACGCATATATATACAGTTAGCTATAGCAATTAGTCATCGTTTTGAAACTTTAGATTTTAAAAATATCAAAGATTATGCATCATAATCAGTCCATGATTCATCCAAGGGGGAACAAGCGGACTTCTGTACTTCCGAAGTACAAAAGTACGGAGAAAGTACAGAGAAGTACCAAGAAGTACCAAGAAGTACCAAGAAGTACCAAAAAGTACGAAGAAGTACAAGAAGTACAGAAGTCCGCTTGTTCGCCCTTGGATTCATCTCATTTGTGATTTTCAGTGGTCAACACGCCAACGAAGAGGATAGAAACTTCTATGTTCAAATGGAATTTCTGCGGCACGATGTCGAAGCACTGTAGTTGTTGGTCTTTCATTTGTGATATGTACGGTTTCTTCACATCCTCCATGCGATTCGATGTCCACTGACAGCACTAAGTTTCGCATTTGGTCTGATTGCATATTATGTGTAGGTATGACGTTGTTTGATGTCGTTGGTATTATTTCAGGGTTTGTATGATTATCATAGACGCTTTGAAGTTGTGGATCACTGGTAATTGGTATAGGATCACTACGGCTTTGATCGGTATCTAAAGAAGATATGATGTTTTCTATTCGTTCTCCAGTAATTAGCAGTTCAAGCCCATTTTTAAACTTTTTAATAGTAACTTTAAATGCTGTTAGTTTCTTGATAATGTTCAACTGTTTGTCCCATAGTTTCAATTCAATTTCATCAAAATTGTTTTTGTCTTGACGTGCTTCATTAATTTTATCTGTTAGCGACCCTAATTTTTCTGTTGCCACCCTCAGACGCATTTCAACGACCTCGATCACTTCGTTCCGCATAGCAGCCGCTGTTGCTTTAATATTCGCAGTTTCTTCTTGTTCCCATAACTCGATCTCACAGAAACAATCATTAGATTGATCATTTACGAAATAGTCCTCAAGCTTTCTGGCAATATCATCGCGGTGGGCAGCCAATGAATCGAATTTCTCGTCAAGCATTGTCTGATGCTCCTGTATATGACTCAGACAAAATGCTTTATAACATCTGGAACAAATGACAGTTGCATCTTTGTGGCAATTGACACAATGACGTATCGGCCGTGGCGAAAACATTCAGTGTATTGACGAACTTCTTTTAAATCTGAAACAGATGAAATTCACCAATCAAAATATAGTTAATAAGAGGATCTCTAAAACAGACGAACGGTTTTGGCATAACACTCTAATGACAGTACAGTATATATATATATATGTGTGTGAGAATTTCAGGATAAGAAGTAAGTATAGAGGCATGAATCAACTTACATCAGCACACTTTATATCATGGTTTCGTTGGTTAAAGCCTGCAAGATACAAGTATCTACACTTATTCTAAGAAAAGCTCTACTATCTGAAATCATGTCACAAGAAATGACGTTATAAAAAAGCAGTCATCTTGACGTAAAATATCTACTACATAAATCATAGATTAGTCACTATGAGTCTGTAATAGAGCAAGGTATTTTCTTATCAGAAAAAGTTCTCGTGTTTCGCAAATCTTGAAATGTTCTCTTACTAAAAGAATATGAAATTTGTTGATAACAACGATCGTACATGGGTGGCGAAAATGACGCGATTATAACTAATTATCATCGATAAAATATTAGCTCATGCCAAATTTCCTGTGATTATTTGCCAAAAAAGCTCTGGAACTTCGCCAACTTAGGACAAAATTAAACGTGCATCAATAGTCCGCATCGCCTACATTAGAGTATGGATGTGGGTGTGGAAGAAGACAGAATAAACATCCACTCCCACACCCCGTTGATTACACTTGATATTCGCTATCAGTGATATGTGCCATCAGTAGTCAAATAAAAAAGGGCAGTAATTTTAGAATTGACCGACCAGATGGTCACATCAAGAGCAAAAAAAAGAAAATATAAATTATAAATGTCAACAGCACAGTCTTTTTCTTTGTACTTCTAGAGTACCATTCATTTCTCGTAGTTAATTTTACATTTCTTTTGAAAAAGACGGGGGCTCATAAGACGTCAAATTGGCTCATCGATATTTTTCGTGACAAACTCTATTGAATTTTATATCCATGGAAAGAGCTAATTGAGACAAACACCTTGGTGCTAAATTTATGAGGTTTTGATCGAGTTTTGATGGTTTAAGGCTATAAACAGGATTACTCATTTTTGGCCATTAGTTGAATAATTGATCCATACACAGTGGATTCAATTCCATAATGAACATATAAGACGAGATGGTACTTAATTTATGAACTTAATAGCTCCTGAATAGGAGTTTAATTCTAAATATTACTTGTTGATTGATTATTTAGTTCTATGAGATAAAGATCCAATGTATTAAGAAGCACTATTAATATATTTGCTATGTTTGTCTTTTTCTCTTATCTTTCAACAAATATTTGAACTTCAAAAACCCAAAGCCACCAAAAATCTGACTCGGCTCGTTTGATAGCCCTTTTCAAAAGCTACAAATTTGTTAGATTTTTATTTAAAAACAAACATGGCACTATTGCAAAAGAAGACTTTAATCGTTTTTATATACCGTAGGACGGGGGTATATGAGAACTTGAATCGGCCTACTGTTTTTTTTTATAATAAATATCATTGAATCGCACATGAAATGAAACAGCAAAATGTGACAAACATTTTAACATAAAATCTCAAGTACGTTAGTAATATTTTCTAAGCATTGCCCTTATTGCAATAATGCTACAGATGTGATGCATACATGCTACAGCACAAAGACAATATTTGAAGCCATATTTTCACTTCAATGCAGTTAATATTTCATCAGATAGAGCGCGAAAAATGCTACAAAATGATATAATATCCGTATTCCAAAAAGCATTATCCACGGACTTGACAAAGACATTACATTCATAGGATAGAGAAGAAGATATGTAATTTATTATACAGGGTGTCCCATAAATAACATTCCGATAAGAGATTTAAATATCTCCACCAGATGTCGACCAAACGATCTGAAATTTTTACCAGTGATAGAGGTATATTCAAAGTTTATATCCATAAAGGCATGCCTAGAGAGACCATTTGGGGTGTGGGTGTCTGCGGGTGTGGGTATTGGTGATCTCTAGATCTGCATGCACACCTTCACTCACACAGGATGAGGGTGTGGGGTGTGGCTGGGTTGTGTGTGTGGGGTATGAGGTATGGACGTGGGTGGGTGCGGCTGTGGTGTGCATGTCGGTGTGTGAGTGTTGATGAAGAGAATACGCTCACTGAGACTCACACCCACACACCCATCCACACCCACACTCCACATCCATACCCACCCACATCCCACACCCTCGACATACTGTTCGTTTTAAATGGATACATTGTGAGTTGTAAATAAGATAATCGCTCGGTGGTGATATAATTGGTTGAAAAACAAGATCAAACTAATTATAATATATCGAATAAAAGTAAGAAGGAGATCATCTGACATGTATTTGATACCATCGAATAAAATATAGATCACAGCATGATTGACTTGAAAAGAGTAGAAATATGGTACGAAGACAAAAGAAACACTGAGAACGATATAATAAAGAAAAAGACTGAGTCCATGTAGTAGAATTTCTCCATGAGATGCTGTTGGTCATCAAATTGATTAATCCTTTGAGTAGAATTTCAATGGAGGTGACGTTGGTGAAGATAGTCGGACGGCTGCTAGCTATAATCTTTCTTGACCAGATATCAAAACCAAAGCTAATAAATCTAAAATCAGATTACAACGAATAAATATGGTTCTAATTGGAAAAAAGAAGAAAGATGAAGACGTACAGACTAGCCAGGTAGAGAAGTAGTATGAAGATGACTAAAAGAACAAGAATAATGAAGATAAATATACTACGAAAGCGAAGATTGTGCATGAATAAGTGTTTCACGGTAAAAAAAAGCGTCAGGCTACTGAATAACCATGTAGTTTGGCATATTTTCTGGAAACTGTTTTCATGAATATACATGAGATAAGAATGGTACAATGTTTCGATTTGTTTTTCTCCTAGAAAATGAAATTCTGAACGAGAAAAGTGAGTGATTCTTGCTATTGATAAAAGAAAATCTCACAACAGTAGAAGTATTGTAGCAATTTGCGCCGGAATATGGTCGATCGTCGTCGATTATGAACCAGGCGTTTAAGAAGCATCTTAGAAGTCTAATTTATTGATATTTTCCATCAACATAATATAGGTTTTGCTTCTATTGTTTTCAAAAACTAGGAAAGTCGATAGCGTTTCTTCTCGAGTGTAAAGATAAGCAGAACGGTCAGTATGCTCATGGTCGAAAATAAAATCGTCGAAGAGACATGAAAACTGCGATATATTCCTATAGTAGTTCCATTCATATTGTTTTCGACAATGATGTACTCAACCGTATTTCGATTTAGGGTTCACAGTTGAATCTATCTTGACTCAACATATGCAGAATGTTATCTTTCTTTTGAATATCATTTGATATGTTTGACTGGATAAGAGCTACATCGAATTCATTAAACGGAGGTTTTTCTGTCACGAGAAATAGTTCGCGTCAAATAATGCGCGAATTTTATTAGTGAGATTGGCCATTGTTACAGAACAGAGAACAGCAAGATACTTAACAGTATAGAAAAAAAACGACATATAATTCGAGAATTACGAAAATAACAAGCCCAAAAATAAGCAAGCAAGCAAATTTCAAGCAGAGAATATCGTATAATCATTACCATCACGAACACAACAACAACAAACAATATTGAACCATATTGTCTAGCCAGTTTTATGTTGAATCGAGATATATATTGGCTTTTTGCTGATGATCCAGCACCATACTCTGCCTACCAGATCAGGAAACCAAGACGAAGAAACGGACTTTGTCTCCAGCAAGTATTCATAGCTGTTATTAATATTTTTATCCACTGTGTTATCTAGAAAGAAAACTTCAATTGACTAATTTCAACGAGACAAACATGTGTACAATATTATGCGTGCTAGAACTACGAAGTCTAGGGCTATACTTTGTGCGAATTGTTTTCACACATCAAGCCGTCTTCATAAAAAAAAAAGAACTTTAAAAAATAGGTTTTCACAAAAGAAAAACACGTTTGTTCATTTGAGAAGAGACACGTAATTGTTAAGGTTTACTCTGAATTTTGAATCGAATGAGAATTCAAATCAAATTTTTTAGTAAAAGTGAAAACTATTCTAATATTGGGGCTAAAAATGGATTTTTTCTGTGCTCTATGAAAGCATTATAGGCAGGTTTCAAATGAAAAAACTATTGATGAAATCTCGTGTCAATAGTAATTCACGACTTAGCTTGCTCAGTGTAAACATAGTAGTAAAATAGCGAATATTCATTGGTTCACGAAATTTTTTACGGAACAATGACAAAATAATGCTAGAAGTCGGCAATCAGTATCGATCGATGTTTTAGAGATTATTGTCCATATCTAGACTATTATTTCTTTTCGGTTTGTTTATGTATCCTTCTGTTTTTGATGAGTAATGCAAATGTCTTATTGTAATGACCATAACTGTAACCTTCACTTTCTTCTGTAGCGACCTTTTCCGTTTCTCAAATCGATAGCATTTTCTCTTTTATCTTACTAACCTGAACGACTTGTCCAACGATGAATTCCACGATCAATATTTTTCATCAATTCAGGCCATCGTTGTACTAGATCATTGCTTTCATCACTATTGTTATTGGATGATGATGACGATACTAAAGAGAGCAAGAATAATGTAATCAAATTCTTGAAGTTATTCTCACAATATAGATTAGTATAGAATATTTGAACTAATGGAAATTCATGAGAAAATATAATTGAATTTTTATGTCAAGAAACAGAAACCGTATGCTTCTTATTTGTAGAAAAGAAGCACTTTCATGCGAAGAAAATCTAGCTACAAACGAATAAAATCAAATTTTTCATTTTTTTACTCTTCGCTGTTAGGAATGGAAAAAGAAAAGAACTTAGTGATTTTCATGCTAATATTCTAAGTGAATCAAGTTATTTCAACAAAAAGAGTCATGATCAACTAACGAGACATTGTCATATTTCGATGAATCCAATCAAAAAACTTTTGACAATTTATTCTAAACTCTGTTTGCAAATGCTCAAGACTGAAATCAACTTGAACAAATCTTACTCTTCAGAATGTATTCAAGTACCTAGTTGTATAACATATCGCACAAGATTGTTTATGTATAGATATAGGTTGCATAAAACTATCCAAGAGATTAACTGATCGAACAGAGACTGTCGATCGATATAAAAAAAAAGGATTTCATTTTACCTTCATTATCATAAGACCTCGTACTAAAATAATTTTTATCTAAATATTCTGCAATTCTAGCTTACATGGAGCAGGAGTTGGTGGAGCAACAAATACATCCAATTGATTAATATTTTCTTTGAGACATTCACGTAGCATGTTTCCACTGGCCACAATGTGAATGTCTTGACCAGTATCTTTATCCTTATAACTTATGGAATATTTTAGATTATTTGGAATGAATAATGCGTTTCGAAGAGCAAAATCGATATCGGCAAAGCTGTCGCTGTCTTGAAAACGGAAGGTAATGGGCTCTCCACTGTTCTTCTGAATCTTGATTCGATTTAAGTTCTTCATTTCGATTGACATCTGGAATGGAAGAGAAAACATAAGATCTTGTCATCCATACAATGTTGGTTATAGAAAAGAGTCAGATACAAATGTCTACAAATTATACAGATAATTTGTTTGCCTTCTTTTTTCTCGAACTAGAATTAGATTTTGTTCTTTTTGAGAGATGGATTGAATCATAGGACCAAACAAAAAAAGTCCAATATCAAAACAGCGACACTGCCGATGTCAAAATTCACTTTATGATTGGCCGAAACAAATCATCCAGTACTGGAGTTTTATGCTCAAATGCTCATTTCTGATCCTTTTCTTTTTTTTTTCTACTATACACTGACATGGTCCACAGAAGTGAACCAAACATGTGGACCAAAGTCAATAGGCTCACTTCATATAGAAGCTATGAGTCAATCAAATGAAAGATCCATATTTTACAGCACTCCAAATGATACTTTTCTCTTTTCTTCAACTCGATTCAAACACAAGATGACAGCTATAAAATAATAACATAAAATACTTCTTTAAATTTATCTGTTATTTCTTCATATTCTTTCATATACTAATCTGATAAACTTCACCGAAATCTTGAAGAGTACTGTCGTGATCGTGAGCGGAGGACTAGCCAACAGTTTATCAAAGACTTAAGGAAATGGGACCATTTGTTTTTAAATGGTCAACCGAAATCAATTCGAACTTTGAATTTTGATGAGTTATACGAAATGATCTTCGTGAAGAATTAGAAAGAGTTTATTTTCTATGTATTTATTTCTTCACCAATTTCAACAGCAACTTTATTGGATTCTAATAATAATAAATGTGTGAATAATAATTTTACAAATGCACAAGATATACTTGCTGTTGCACTATTAACACGAATAACAACAATTGATGGTTCATCATCATCATCTGTACCTATGATAACAATTCATATTATTCCAGAAGTAGCGCAAGCATTACTTGCTTCAACACCAGTTGATAAAGCAAAATTCGCTGAATTACTTCATCAAGTTAATGTGAATAATTCATCTTCAACAACAACAATATCGGATTCAAGGAGCACAAATACCTCTACAAATAGTATAAGTTGTTTTTTTTTCATATATAAATATATATATATAGCTTTGTTAAATCCGTTCAATTTGGAATAAAACAAATACTATGTATTTAGAATGTGATTGACGTGGTTGTCATTAAACATTCTCTTCCAAGTTAAGGAAACAAACTATTTTTTTGTATAAAGTTCGATGATTATTCTTTTTTTTTGCTGTAAAGAAAGATGTTTGTCTTCTCTGTATCTCGTCTTTATTGTTTTCCTTCTTCGTTTGTTTATTTGTTGGGTGTGTGTGTATGTATTCGTTCCATGCATATTTTCGAAAATTTGATTAGTACTGAAGAAAAATTTTTTTTCAAAAGAAAAAGACTAATATGTTCTTTATTGTACAAGATACAACACAAACGATATAAAACAAGTGATGGATACGGATGCTTTTGTTTTTTGCTTTAGAAACAATCTCTTTTTTTCGCTATTCAATGAATATGACAACAGCGGAGGACAATAAAACTAATAAGTGAGTTTATTGATAAGGAATAGAAAGGATTATTTAATGATTTTCAATGATTGCCAATGACCAGAATTCAGTGATTTATATCAGCAGTCCTATCCAATGACATCTAGCTGTGGACTTCTTTCACTAGATCGGAATGAACTCGCATGAATGTTAAAACTTGGAGAATTTTCAATAAAGATATTGAGTTTTGGACAAAGATGAAATAACTTTTTTCTTATAGTATTAGTGATTCTGTCCCACCGGCTGATAATGTTGAACTTGGTCGTAATACAATGTGTCATATTTTTCTCATTATTTTTTCGAAATCTTACTCGAGGTTTGATAAATACATCATTTTTTTATTTGATAAAATCGATCTATTTTATTTCTGTAGTAACTGATATTGAACAAGAAAATTTTTTCAATCTAATTAATCAATTTGTTATTAACGTACCAAGTGTATTTGTTACTGATGGTGATACACAACATACAATTGATAATACTCGAACACAAGAAATTCTTATTGTATAAATCTCTTTATTTCATTTGACTAGTTCCTGCTTGTGTTATTTTTTTTCTATTTAGATTTTGATGTTTATATAGTTTTATTACTTGTTTGGACATTATCATCCAAAAAATTCACTTCAATACAAGAAAATACAATTGCTGTACTTGCTAATCTCTATGGCGAATTATCACTTCGTTGGCCAGCTCTTTTTCGAATATCTACTAATGAACTAATCGATACATTAAATGGCTTGTTTTTGATTCTTTCGGATAATAATACAATAGATACAATAAAATATGATGTTGAATTTATCGAAGAATAAATTCATCAATCAAAGCGTCTTCATCATTTTCTTGTACCTGAACAAATTGGTTGATCATTTTCGAATAATGTAACAATTGAACGATGTGTTATTGAATTGAATTGTTCCGATGATATGTATTAGTAGTTTTCAAATAAATTTAATATATAATAAAAATTTATATTAATAAAACAATTTTTTTTTGTTTTCAAGTTCGGTACTTAAATATCTTGCTAATACATTATCAACATAACTTGATCGTCAAACAATTTCGATTTTAATTGGAACATTATGTGAATTAATTCGCACTGGTGATATAAATGTGAAATGAGTTAGTTAATAAAAAAAATTTTCTTTAATTGAAAAGCAATGGTTTTGTTTAGACAACTTTTTCATTATTTATCGAACATCGTTCATTAGGATTATTAATTGATGATTTAACACCTTTTCAACCTCAGATATTCTTTTAACAATAATCAATTTTATTCATACAGAAGCAAAGTAAATTATCTTTCCTTAAGATTATCTTAAATTTCAATTGATTTATTAATAGACATTCTATTCAACTTGTTATCATTTTATTAATATAATCTGTCAAAAAGCCTGATGAATGAATAATTTTTTTTCTTGAATATTTTTGCTTTTGTTATACCTCGTTTAAAAGATTTACTTATTCATGTTAGTATAGCAAGTAAAGTCAATATGAAATTTCATATGAATAATAGACCATTAAGACTTGAGGATGAAGTTTAAACAGAAATTTATCTTGAACAATTTTCTAAATGCTTGCCGATTTTATTTCAATGTAGACAAAGAGATTTTGGAACGAGTTCATTATTTGTTATATATATGCATATGAAAAAGTTGAACATTTATTATCAAATTTTGATGAATATTTATTAGCAGAAGTAAGATTTTGGATTTTTTATTGAATTATTATAGAATGTTTGACTTAGTATTTAAATCATGCATTAGGAAAACGTTATTATTTGGTCAATTCAAGAAAAAAATCGAATGTTTACAACAACCATTTCGATATGTTGAAATTAAGAATATGTTATTTTATCATTTGATTTAATGTACGAAGAATACGATTGTTGAAAACTATATGGCAACACTTGAAAATTACATTAGAAAAAAGTACATTTAATAATGAAGAGGTTAGATTTTTTTTTATAGAATAATAAATATGATTTAATAATTGATCATAGGATGATTCACAACATCTTTTTAATGTTTATTGTTTAATAACTTCTGTTTGTCAAGCTTTTCTTGGATGTCAAATACATCAGATTAAATTCGAATCAATAGAAGAAAATCATTTTTATATATCTTGGTTAACAATTGACGAAATTACTTCGATTTATGGTTATCTAATCAATACCCTTGCTTATCTTGTTAACAGTACTACTGTTGGATTATTCTCTCTTTCTTATGAATATATTTTAGTTCCTATAGTTGAAAGATCAATTTACATATCAGGTAACTATCTGATTAATTAATATTGATAATAAATAACAGTTTTATCCAATTTAGGTCAATTAGGTATTCGTTTACGTAAAGATACTTTATCGATTTTATGTTTCTCTTGATATCAATACTTTCTGATTGGTATGATTTTCAACCGATAATGACACATGTAAAATAATAAAACAACTTGCTCAAACATTTCAATGAAAATTTAATGAAAATGATCGATTAATATCTTTAAAATGTTTTACATTATTTAACTGACAATTTTATCCATTACTTCGCCTTCAGATATTTTCAACATATCTTAATAATAATCATATTAATACACAATTAATAGCACTTCAACTTTTACGATTAATGCAATATTATTTCTAAACAATATATTTTTTATCAATATTTTATAGAGAATATTGTTCAAAAGATACTCATGAACAACTTAAAGCAATAGTTATGGAGATTTGTCAGATGCATCAATGTTTATTTAATATTGATGGTAATACTGTTCAATTGAAAGTAATTGATCTTATTTCTACTCTTATATGAAGAGATCTAACGAGATAAAAGTTCCCAAGTGATTAAGATCTACTCATCAGCGTTGATCATTAGGAGATTAAATTGTTACATATATTTTCTTTAGATTCACGATAATTTCGATAAAAAAGAATTGTCAATTGATTCGAACTTATTTGTAGTTGATGTTCACCATTTTCTAATCAATATGAACTTCATATTCGATATACATCGATAAATCCTGATTGAAGATTATTTTCTTTATTAAAACATTCTTCTTATATTTCATTTATTTAATCAAACATCTAATTGATGTAATTATATTTATTTAATAAATATTTTTCAAAGATTTGATAATTATCTATCATTTATTCGTCCTTTAAATGATGAAAATGAAAATTTTATTTATATCTTAATGAAAACAATCAACAACGTTTATGTTTAATTTCTTGAATGTCATATTTATTTAAAACAATTCGAATATCTAATAAGCATCAATGGTAGAATTCTCTTAATGATAATCTTGATCAATTTTTATTTGATAGATTAACACAATTAAATAATGATGCTATTCGACAAACAACAAATAATCATCATGATGATTATAGTCGTTTAATACATTTATGTGGTTTAATAGCTCGACGTACATCTAATGAAGATATATTTCTATTTGTTTTATTTATATTAAGAAATAGTTTAGCAACAACAATCACAAATTGAATTAATTCATATAGTTAAAGATGAATACTTACAAAATCTTTCATAAATTAAATATTTATGAAAAAATTCATTTAACAACAATTTTACAACAACATACAGATTGTTTATATTTTCTTATATCACAGCTATTATTATTAAATTCTGAACAACCATCAGATATTTTTTTACGTTATTTACATTTATGATTTAGTATGATGCAACTAAATGGAAGTTCATTTAAAAGGTATTTTATTTGATTTATTATCATGAATTGTTGAAGAACGTTCATTAAATGCTAGTCGAATTGTTCAAAATATTCGAACAGCTGTTAAGATTTTGAAAAAAAAAAGTTATTTTTGATGCATTTCTAGGGATTTATTCACATGTATGGAGACATGGATACGTCTTGAAAATAATAATGGTAATTTTTCTATGTCTCGTGTTTATCAAGTAAATGAATTTATTGAACAAGAAACTGCTGCTGTATTTCATTTTGATGGTTCACCTATATTTAGTGAATAATTACTTTATATAAGTACACATTTTGAACATATTATGAAAGGTTTACAAATGGCTGTTGGTATATTAGATGGAATATTATAAACTATGGATAAAGATTATTCAAATGTTATTTCAAAAGAATGTGTTTATAAAGCATTACAATCGAAATTACTTGGAATTTGATGTGATTTTGAAAGAGAATTATTATCAAATAGTACATCACTACATTCAAAAAAAAAGAGTTTTACTTAGTTTAACGGAAGTATTGAAAATTATGGGTAGGTTTTTAGATTGAATATAGTAAAAGTCTCTTTTCTAGAAAAGTAATTCGCAGCTCTGGAATGACATATAAGGATTTGATTCGAATTGGTTACTCGATTTCAAATAAATGACTGAACAAAAAAGCACTTCTACTAAAACTTCTAGTGTGTTTTAAGAGTACTATTGATAAGTACATATAGAGCTACAGGACTAGGCGTGAAGAAAACTTGTATATCAGCTTGTACGCGTAACGCATCACCTCCATGACCGGGAGTTCGAATTCAGTATCTTAAGGAATCATTATTGCCATGTTGTAGAGCATAGTCGAAAGTATGTGGAAACATATTCTGTTTCATTAACAAGTACTTCAAATCGCATTTAGCAATTGATAATAGAGGGATTACTAATTGATAAACAAAATTCTTCAATTTAGACCATCAATTGACTTAGCCCATATATGGGTGTGGAGTGCGGGTGAGTGTGGAGTATGGATAGGTATGAAGTGTGTGCGAGGGTGTGATGTGTAGAATCTTATTTGACACCCACCCTACATGCTAAAGATTATGTTTCACTTTGTCGTCTTCCAGGAAAATTCTGCTCGTAAAAAGTATGAATTATAAATAATCGCTTATCGTAAGTTGGCACTACTCATATATACTTTTAAAATACCAGTGTTTCAAGGATACCTAAATTTAGCCGTAAAACTTTCGTTTATAGTTCAGAAGCTTTGTTTAATTGTCTTGTTCTTCTCTAATTGTTTCTCATAGGTTTAGTCTCATTGTTTGACAATTACTTCTACTGTTGTGAATTTTCGTATATATTTTAACGAGCTGAAAAGTTTATACGATCTAGTTTAGAAAAGTAGTTTCAATCAATTAAACAATTTCCCAATATGTAAATATTTAAATGATGTCGCTTTTATTTTACTCACGACCTTTGGAAAAGATATAATTAGAGCTGATATTTTTCTATGATCTTGGCCTTGCAGAATCTCTGACAAAAAATTTGAGGTATAGATGTGTCTGATACGATTAAGATGCACAAAAGTGAAGTATCTTTCAAAGATCTTGTTTACAAGATGTTTCATTAGGACGAAGCTTTTGAATATATGTCATTTGAATAAAGATATTGATTCTTTGATTTTGTTAGAAAATAATTAAATGAAAGTGTCAAGCTTGTTTTCTTCTGTTTTATGAAAAAAAAATTTCTTGTCGATGATAATATATAAGAGTTTGAGAAGAAATTACTCAAATTCGATAACAACATTCAATGTTGTACTTTACTTCATGAAAAATAAATCTAATTTAAACTACGTAAAAACCTATTATTAAAACAGGAACTATTCAATACAATAATAATAAATAATAATTAGACGAATTCAGAAGAATACGATTGTGATAATTATAAGAAAACAATTATTTCTTTATTATCGGGATGAGGTGTGGCTGTGAATGTAGCTCTTCTCTCACCCACCCATACCCACACCCACACCCTTGCATATTTTCAGTGACTTACTCGGTCTGCTCTGATGCTGAACAAATAAATATTGGATGGCAGTGTGCGAAGAAGCCCGGACTAACATCACCACAATCAATTCTTCATTTTCACAATGAAATGCATTTGCCCGTTAACGAAACACAAAGAAGATATGCTTACTGTAGCACAAACAAACTACAAGTTAGATCAAACATTGACTGTGTTAGTTGCAAATTAAAACTTAGTTTATAAGATGAAAAAATTGTCTTTTCGATTACCTTAATGCTTTAATGTAATCATTTTTAGGATGTGGATGTGTGTGAATAGATGAACACATCCACGTGCACACCACACGCTCTTTTTCCTGTAATGAACTCTTTTTCTCGGTTGCAAACAATAATATTTACATGATTTCAAACTCATAACTGCCAATTACTCAGATACAAACAAGCATGTTTAATGAAAAACAAGATAATCTCAGAGTTTTAAAATTTTCTGATTAAAATAATCAATTATACAGGGCAAAATGTACATTAGTTTTTCGGAAATCGTGTAAAGTATCGAGAAAAATCAGCAAAAAAAGCAAACGAGATCTATTTATTTTAAAAATAATAGCTTATATTTAGTTGCTCAGTATTTTATAATAACTATTCAACATGCTTTTTATTATATGCTCAGTAAAAAAATAGTTTTGCACAGTAAATAGTTTGAAAAGCTCATTAATTAATTAAAAAAAGACTCCGTATTTAAAAGTGTAGACGTCGACTTTCCCAACGGTAGCATCCACAGCTACATCCATACCTACTGATCATGATTTATGAGAAGAGAAAAACGATCACAATAGACACAGAAAGAAATGAACATAGTGCGAAATAAAATGTCCCCTAACGTATCTCCTGAAAAAAGATGGAAGCTTTCTTGTATATCGATAAATGATGTAATCCTACGAAATTCGTGTCAATAGATGTATAGGTCGCTTTGTATAATGGTGGACAAGTAACTGATGTAGTTATATTAAGTGATATACTACTTAAATTTGACTTGCACAAATAATTGATTGATAATTCTGTTCAATTGCCATTAGGAAACAGTTTGGATTATTTCTTTCGTTAGGGAGATTCCAACAAAATTTTATTGACCGAGATGACTTTTAGTCATTGCATCGGATGCTGTAACCAAGATGATGATTTTTTTAATCGATAATTATTTGGAAAAAAAGCTTTCAGCAGAGATTTTGAACGAATTGATCGTACATGAATGATTATGACCACTAGATCAAATATATGCTGAAGTAAAAATCTATTCTGTAGACTTTTATCTCCAATTGCCACTACTTTTGGTATAGGCTAAGTAGTGTTGATAAAACTAAGGTAGAGCTACCGTTTCGCTCACCGTTAGAGTTGAGATTGCTTATGCCTGAGCTGGCAGAATTTAACATTAGTGTTATGTCAACAACAGACAGTATTCTTTTTATCATTTCCAACCTATCATTTTCAGTTAATACTATCGTCAACAGTTGACATGTTTTGATTATTCAAAACATGCACATTATAATGAATTCAGATTTTGCTTCATTCATTTAGCTAATTATTTGTTGGTTTCACTGTATTTGAACATCTATTTATCATCTTTAATAAAATCGTTTTAATTGGTTCTGTAAATTGGAATACAGCAATCATAACGAATACCGATGAAATATCAACAAACAAGTAAGCAATACGAAAATGATACTTTGGTGGAATAGTTACAAATGATATTAAAATAAATATCATATAAGGTAGACCGAGTATGACAAGAATAATAACCAGAATGACAATACGACGAACCATTTCTAATTCTCGTTGTGCATGAAATAATGTATTTGTTGGCGTCACATGTTTACTCATTTCATGTACATATCGAAATAGTTTAAAGTAGACAAGCATAATAATTGTGATCGGTATCATATAAATACATAATGACGTATAAACCATTATTGGTGAAAGTCGTAACGATACTTGACATATTTGATTGTCAACATTGTAGAATATCTCACCAGTCAACAACAATGGAAGTGAGTAGATAATCGAAAAGATCCATTTAATACCTATGAGATAAGCTTGAAAACGAGCTGACTGCCAGGAAACACGAGCTGGATAGACAACAATAATATATCGATAGATAGCTTGTAATGCATATGAATAATTCTGTAAAAAACATGTAACATAACCCATGTATCCTCGAAAAACACAAAGTGAATCTTCGAACACAATTTGTTTTATATCATTTTGCAATTTAAACAAAGCCATACTTAGCATAATACATTCAAAGAAAATTGCAGCTAAACATGAGTTTCCAACAAGCATGAATGGTACTGTTCGACATGTTCGACTCATAACGATAATAACCAAAAAGGTAAAAGCAAGTAGAGTTGCGATAATGGTAGATACAATCATTAGAATATCTATAGGAATGAACCATGATTCGATGTTTGTCGTAGTTGAATTATTGTCAGATGTCATTATTGCTACGCAGAAAAAAAAGAATATGTGTTTGTCTATGCAAGAAAGAAGTGTTTATAGAAACGACTCAAACAAAATTCATACTTAAGACAAAAAAGTCTTCCTTGCGCGTGCAATGACAAATGTTAAAGAGTGAACACTATTTCGCCACTAGTGTGCAATAATTTTCTGTAATAACTAAGTTAATTAATATTTGGTGTTCGGTATAGAATGTGATGGTATGACACAGGAATCTCGTGACTTTTAATTGCTTTCCATGATTGTTGACTGGTTTTGATATTTTTAGATGGGTAATGCAATAATAGTACAACATGTCTATGTCTCTTTTTCTTAAAATGGAACTGTTTGTCATGTCAGTTAATTTGATTAACTATATTCGGGTGAAATTATCGCTCCCAACGAGAAACTACCAAATTAATAATATAAGCTGATGATGGCAAGCCTCAATCGAGTTATACAAATTTAAAGCTATTGACAATTTAGGTACATAAGAGACAGTCCAAAGAAACCACAATCGACTCTCACAAAAGTTGCTTAATCAAGGTGATTAAATTTTGCTCAACTTAATATATGTTGTAGAGGCAATAGTTTTAAGAATTTTGAAGCAATCCATTTTAAAAAATTTGTTTCGTTGTCGAAATATTTCAATTTTTCTGAGAACACTATCATCAAACATACATTGATTTTGTTTGAGATTTTTAGTATGTATAAATCTCAAGTTGATGTACTTATTATCATACAAAAATGAGTTCAAACAAGAGAATTATTGATGAGTTGATCGTACTAGCAGCTACATGACAAAATAGTCATTTTTCGCTATCTTGTGCGTATGCATATCTCATGAACAGACTATATTGAAGGGCTGAAGTTTTGAAAATAGAGATCTCACAAAGTACCTACGGCGGTAAGAAGTTCAGCTTTTTAAATAATTTCTATCGTTGAGAAGATACTCTACAAAATCACAATTTTGTCAGGATTCGATCTTCCAAAATATGCGCTCAATAGAAGTCGGGCTCATGTGATTATAAAGGACATATTGAGCACTACAATTCTATGCAACAATTAGCCAGGCATCTTGTAGAATTGTCTGGATAGTTTTATTGAAGGATATTGATAAATGACTATTTTGTCATGTAGCTGTCAGTACAAACAGCTCATCAATAATTCACTTGTTTGAACTCAGTTTTGTCTGCTAAGTACATTAACTTGAGATGTATACATACTAAAATTCTCAAACCAAACCAATATATGTTTAATGAGATATGAATGTTACAAAAAAAACAAAGAAAAATATGGTTTTTTGGGCGATAGTGTGGTCAGAAAAATTGAAATATCTTGATAACGGAACATTTTTTAAAATCGCTTGCTTCAAAATTCTTAAAAACTATTGCCTCTACAACATATATTAAGTTGAGCAAAGTTTGTTCACCTCGATTAAGCAACTTCCGTGAAAGTCGATTATGGTGTCTTTAGACTGGCTCTTATATACCTAAGTTTTCAATAGCTTAAAATTTGAATAACTCAATTTTGGCTCGCCATCAGCAGCTTATATTTTTAATTTGGTAGTTTCTTACTGGGAGCGATAATTTCATCGGAATATAGTTAATCAAATTAACTGACATGGCAAACAGTTTCCTTCTAAGAAGCAACGCCACACATTAAAGAGTAAGCTGAATTCTTGTATGAATTAGCATGTGAATTTCAAAGGAGTAAAGTTTTGCTTGTCAGCACAAAATCGCTTAGGTACTCATTCACGTCAATATGATATTTTTGTATTTACACGCCGCATTAGTAAAGCATTGTTTATTACACGAGTATATACAACTAAAACTTTGTCATTTATATGCGAATAGTATGTTGTTCATAGATATTTAAATTTATCTTTCTTTTAGCGAGTATCTTCAAGAACAAAAGTCAGCCATGATCTCCTACGTCCTACTTAGAAACTTAAGGGTGTGGGTGTGAATGCTACTCTTCTCATTAACCCACACCCAAACCCATTCTCTTGCTTGTCTCTTGTAATAGTACATTTTCATAACTTTATTCGTATTCGAATCATTTCCTACGATATTCATTTAACTTGAAAAAGGATTAAAGCTTTCACTCAATCAATTCTTCAAGGGCTTCGATTGCGAAATACATACTTTAGCCTCGTTCTCTGTCTCTTCTCCTCTGGATAAATATGTGAACGTTTTTGGTTTCATGAGAAATCATTTTCTTTCCCTACGTGGTCATTTATAAAATGTATTTCTTATTCCTGGGCTTCGCACTCTTTGGTGCTTTTACTGCTGGTAAGTTGACGATCGTCGAATTAACCTTTTGAACGATATGTTATCAAACACCTATAATTTTTTTTGTAGCCACAGGAAGAGCAGTGGAAAATGCGGCTGAAATCACTTCGACATCATCAAATGTAATCACAGCTTACAAAGTTTATACGAGACGTCAGGCAGACACTTTTTTAATGGCTGCCTCTGACAATTTGATCTACGTTCCAAGCCTGGATAAAGCTTTTCATGTTACGAAGAATGCATTGTTTAAAATTACGTTTCAAGGTTCATTTTGGAATGGGGATAACGATGTCAATTATTATTATCAGATCATGGTAAATGACTATCTCATTATCGGGAATTCACTTGTACGAAATAATAACAAACAAGTTCATGGAGATGGAGGTGTTGCTTATGTCCAACACACTGCAACTGCTTCAATCACAGTAACACGCATAGCTATGGTGTTTCTTCCTCCAGGCACCTATACGTTTAACATTGGTGTACGAGCTGAAATGGCATCCGGTTCCGTAGCAAGAGGGATTGTTATGTATGAATTAACACAGTTTGTCGATAATAATGATGATTTGGGTGATTACAAACTAGCTATACTTCCAAACTAATGAAGAGCACACATTTGGGTCAAACACCTGTATATTGAACTACTATACGAATCAATAGATTTAGTGTTGTTCTTTTTTTCATACGTTTTTTATCACTTTTCATTTTCGCTCACGCAGTCTGCTACTTATTTATTGATTAAGGCTTGCATTTTATACGTAAATAGCTAAATAAGAATAGTTATTAATATAGTGGGGTTTCAGGCACATCCAGATTTTGGGAGTTCTGAACTCTTAACAGTTTCGGAACGTGAACATTAATAGAAAATAAGCAGTTATGAATTGCCGATGAACAAAACATAAAGAGCATACAGAACTCAAGTGATTCTCGGAACTCTTGAGTCTCACGGTAGCTTTGAAACTCAAAAGTCTTGGAGCTCTAGGGGTACAAGAAATTAAAGAAATTCTCAGAGCTTCAGAACCTCTTCAAAATCCCAGAACTCTAGGAAATAAAGAAATAGAAGAAACCCAAGGAAGTCTAAGCACTCAGGAAGCTTAAAGAATCCTTAGAAATAAACGAGTTGTAAGAATTCTAACAAAATTAGAAATCCACGAAACTATCCAAATGCAAACTCTTCCAAAAAATTGTAGGAAGCTGTCAGTAGCTGATCTGAGTTTGCAGATAATTTGTGGATATAGATTTTCATCTCAACACCGGAAATCCCGACCAACACACTAATAACTACGTTAAGATTTCCCATCACACCCACACCCATACCCTATAGTACATCAATATGATATCACGAACAAACGGCATTAAAAATCCGATTTATAACAATATCGAATGATCTAATTTAATGAATGGCCCTACAACTTTTGCAAGTCATCGCAATGAACTATTGTCGAAGTACAGTACACCCCTATTCAGCTTCTTTCTAGTAGACGATCAGTGTTTTATCTATGTTTCCTATTTTGGAGGGGCGATTTGAACCGTTGAGAGGAAGAAGGACGGACAAACAGATTTGCAGATGCCCCAACCCCCTTTGGATAAAACACTGAAAGAAATATGCTCGTAGACTCTTCATCAAATAAATGAATGAAAGAAACATCAAGAGATGGGTTTGGGTGGGTTGTGTGGGTGTGGATGTTGATCTACTCATTGGAAATACTCACATCCACAGCCACACCCTGCTTCTCACTACCTACTTTTGGTTCTCAACAAATACTTGTAAGTGCCCGAGAAATTAGCGAAAATTTCTTGCCAAGACTTTTACGCCATGGGTTACATTTAATAGAATATCTATTTATTAGAATAACAATAACATAATGAACATGTAACGAGTCATTTATACGCAAAAGTGTTTAGAAAAAGTGCATGATAATAATGATTGTAGCAATTATAATGATAGTAATAATGTTATTTAAAGCTTTCGGGTCGCTAGACGCCTCAGACGCGCTAAGGACAGGTGAAAAGACTAGTCACGTGATACCGTCCTGATGCTCGTCCAAAGATGATCGTAAATAAAAGAAGACGAGCGTCCACGACTCGACATGCGATGAATTGTAGTCTGATATACCTGGTAGTCGAGTCTAGACTAGTCTAAATGGTAGAAATATATGAAAGAAGGTTAGATTCGATCATGCACACAATATATCACTTACCAAGCGTCTAGTCGATTGAACCATACAATCAAGTGGTCATCTTCTACATCTCGATAAACATTCTAAGATGCTATGGGACACAATTTTACTCAGTTTTCAGATTTCACTGTAAATAAAAATTTGTTTTATGGAATACCGAAATAATTACATCAAATCGAATAGAACTAATTTAAAATTATTTTTCTCATTGCTGACGTCTAAGAAAAATGTTTTCTACGGAAAAAAAAATTATGAATACAAAAATAAAAAACAAATAGTCTAAAATTTTGAAAAACTCATTATATTCCCTTCATGATTGGAGTTTATTTCAATTTTATATTTTTGCTATTTAAACTAAAAAAAGACTGATATTATGTAACTTATATATTCTTAAATTAATTACCAGAATCTGTATTTTGACTAATTAAAATGTAGTTCTAGCTTTAAGACATTAAAAATATATTCAAACTAAATTATTTCAGATTAATTTTACAGTCCACTTGTTACAGTGATGTCGCCTGTATACACACATTCTCTATATCAGTATTATCCTCTATCCTCTTTCATCTCTGTTTGATCTTGTATTCGTTCTTTTCGTTCTTCTCATGATATATGTATTCTTTTATATCGTTATAAAAACAGTTGTGTATTTTACGTTACGAAATAAAGTAGTCCACGTACATCAAGGACGTACGTATACATATATCTCTATCGAACCATACATAGAGAGAAGAGAGGACGTTAACACCACTAAATTTAAAAAAACCATTAATATGCAAGTTGTGTCAGGATGTTAATCAAGACACTCTGGATCTTAATGCATATCTTTGTACTTCAGTATAATTTTGTACTTTTAGTATAAAAGAGTACGAGTTTTTACTCTTCGCAGAGATGCTTTACAGGCCTTTCGATGTGAAGCAGCCAAAATTGCAAACTTGTTCATTGAATAGGATGAAATTAATAAAAACATGTATTCGTTAAATATATGCTGAAGATATTTTATTCTAGTGAAGTTGCTTTTTTTAGATTAGTTTCAATTGCATATTGAGTGAAGAAGGGTCAATCTGTTATTTAGATCGCTTTAAATGACACATGTCTATAGTTAAAGTGTAATTTACCGTCAAAAGATCCACCTGATGTTGGACACTGTCGGGTCAAACGTTTGAATCCGCATTTCGTCTCATTTTTTTCTGGTTCCTATGTTCCCCAGACTAGTTTGGACGAAATAGGCAGATGAAATGAACTAGACATGATGATGCAAAGACTTCTCAGACTAGTCCAAGCATAGTTGAAGGACGTTTATCGGAAAGGTGACTGGTCGTGGCGAGCAGTGTGGACGTTTTAGACTATTCTTAGACGACGTCCTCAGTTATTTTTTATTTACCTTGGCCATCATCAGTAGTCTAATACGTAGGTATGTGTGTGCTTATGAGTGCTGCAAATTGTAAATGTTCTTTTTTATATATGTTTATCACATCATTGTTATCACAAGTAACGAATCGGTCATTGAGCCTCGCTTGACTCAATCCTGAAAGCAGAGAATACGAACAATAGTATAATACTCTCAAAAACCAATTGGTCTCGTAGATCCGGTGATATCTTTTGGATTCTTTTTATTTTAGTCGGTCACTCGAAGAAAACATCAAACATTCCCTCGGAAGCCTACTGTGAAAACATCTTTCATTTGAAGGAACCAAAGCCGCTCCTCGTCGCTACTTTGTACTCTCGTGCTATTCTTTTGTTCACTACTCACTTAATCATTGTATGAAGTTCCTCGAGTTGAATTCTGCCCAAAAAATAGTATTTGAACTTTAAACAGCACGTCTGGTTTCCTTTTTGAAAGCACTCTGCAGGCACGGTAAACCTAGATTCAAAAAAGCTTGTTGTGTTGCTTTGTCATCTTCGACCAATTGTTATCAAGTCTCATTCTAAAAAACGTGGATTCTAATGACTTTATAGTTGTTACGATGTCCTACTTCTCCAAACGATCAGTTTTCATTTCTTGAGGGTGTATTGCTTTCTGAATAATTGGATAAAAACAAACATACAAACAATTTAATATGAATGAACCGCTCTTTCAGAAAAGCGACAATGAAATACAGAATCTCATTGACTGGAGAAAAGTCAAAAATATATATTATTGTCCACAAAAATCTGAGAAAACCCCGATTGGTAGAAGAAAAACTGAGAAATAATCTTTTTGATCGAAAAATATTTCGGAAAAAATTTGCAAGATTGTAGCTGTCCTATGGTGTGTAAAGACTCAAACTCTGAAAATAATCTTCTGTGCGATACATACAGCGAATTCAATTCAAACTTGACTTTTCTGAACACCTTGGGTGGGTCTTTCTTTCAAAATTTGGTTTCTATTAGCTCCGAACCCATTGTATAGAGTTTTGAGAGAAACAGAGTTCAGATTCGAACCCCCATCTTAGAATAACACACAGGGAGCTATTTTTTTTGAAACGCTTGATTTCTATTTATTTCTGACCAACCGTTCAGACACTAGACAAATATACGAAATTGCGCTGTGAAGATTCGATCCTTTCAGAATTGAGAAAAACCGAAAATACACCTGAGTGACGGATTTTTAGAAGAAAAAAATCTGATTGCCAGAGAGTAAAACATAAAATTCACACGAATGACTCTTTTTTTAATGTTCAAATTCTATTGGTCCACTGTTCAAGCAATCAGATTCGGGACAACCTGACCAGCATTTTACGTTATCCAGGCTCATCCTTTTAGGATTGAGAATATAATCAGTATATATTTGATTAAATGTATTTAAAAAGAGAGATAACAATAAATAGTACAGATAAGACTGCATATTCATTCTATTATTTTTATGTACGTATGCAAGTCCTATAGCACGCGTATATATGCATAACAGTATTTTTCTCCTTTTCCGAGCCTATTTGTTTACTGCTTTCATTTGATAAATCTTGACGATGTTTGTCCATATGCATACACACTACGGGTGTCATTTTTCTGTTAATTCAAAATAAACATAAATCACCATTAATCTATATTTATGTTAAATATATATTATTTTTTGTATAATTTATATTCAAAATAAATATATTTACTGTTTATTTAATTTACGCATAAATTAAATCGAAATTAAATACAAATTGACCCTCCTAATACAAACAAAACGTGAAGCGCAGTCCTAACATGAGTGATAGCATTAATTACCTATCTTTTTCTTTCCTTCACCCACCGTGGATGAGTGCTCTTGAATTTTTTCTTTCTCTGCATCATGACGTATTCAAAAGCAACTGGATGAAGTATTTCTGTCATAAAAATGCAGAGATATACAACCGACAAGAGAAGAGTGATGAAGAAGGGAAATTATATGTCATATCTACAAGGTAAATGTTTGTTTTACATGTGAAGCATTAATATTTTACTATATTGATTCT